TGACATTAAGTCCAGTCATGTCTGACTCTGGGGTGTGGTGCTCATCTCCATTTCTAAGCCGAAGAGCCAGCGTTGTCCGTAGACACCTCCAAGGTCATGTGGCCGGCATGACTGCATGGAGCTGCCGTTCCCTTCCCGCCGGAGCGGTACCTATTGATCTACTCACATTTGCATGTTTTCGAACTGCTAGGTTGGCAGAAGCTAGGGCTGACAGCGGAAGCTCACGCCGCTCCCCGGAATCGAACCTGCGACCTTTCGATCAACAAGCTCAGCAGCTCAGTGCTTTAACCCACTGCGCCACCGCGAGCTCCCAGTGATAGTAGCAGTATAATAATCTCTTCCAATTGGTGCCTTCTTGATCTACAAACTTTATTACTGTTTCCAAAAATAGGAATATGGTACAGTCTCCTTGTGGCAGGTGGGTTTCATGTGTGACTTCCAGATTTGGGATCATTTCTCTGGAGCTAGGAAGGGTATTTCACTCAGGAAAGGAGCATATTTTTCTACCCATTAAAGTTCCCATCTTTCCAGAAATGGATTCTGCTCATTGCAAGAGCATTGTTGTGAAACTGGACATCCCAGAGAACCCAAGCCAAGAATCTCTCCAAAGTAGTGTTTCTCAACCTTCCTAATGCTGTGACCTCTTAATACAGTTCATCACGTTGTGGCAACCCCCAACATAACATTATTTTCGTTGCTACTTCATAATTTTGCTACTGTTATGAATCATAATGTAACTATCAGATATGCAGGATGTATTTTCATTCACCGGACCAAATTTGGCACAAATACCCAATATGCCCAAATTTGTCAAAAAGTTGATTTTGTCATTTGGGAATTGTCGTTGCTGGGATTTATAGTTTACCTACAATCAAAGAGCATTCTGAACTCCACCAATGATGGAACTGGGCCAGACTTAGCACACAGGGCTCCCATGACCAACAGTAAAAAATGGAAGGGTTTGGTGGACATTGGGTAATCTGGCAGACTGACAAGGTAATGACGACCAGAATTTGGAAAGGACTATGATAATGCTGAATGGACTTACGGATTTTAGAACTTGGTGAACGTTGGCCACTAGATTGGCTTTTTAGTTGTTATTATATTAATTGAATGTTTTAACTTGTGGTTATTGTTGTTATGTATTTTATCTGTTGAATTGTTGGCATCGAATTGTGCCGGTTGTAAGCCGCCCTGAGTCCCCCCTTGGGGGTTGAGAAGGGCGGGGTAGAAGTGCCTACAATCAAAGAGCATTCTGAACTCAATCAATGATGGAATTGAACCAAACTTGGCACACAGAACTCCCATGACCAACAGAAAATACTGGAAGGATTTGGTGGGCATTGACCTTGAGTTTTGGAGTTGTAGTTCAACTACCCTGGCTTGAGAGCAGTACATGTGAAAAAGATCTTGGAGTCCTCGTGGACAACAAGTTAAACATGAGCCAACAATGTGATGTGGTGGCAAAAAAAAGCCAATGGGATTTTGGCCTGCATCAATAGGAGCATAGTGTCTAGATCTAGGGAAGTAATGCTACCCCTCTATTCCGCCTTGGTTAGACCACACCTGGAATACTGTGTCCAATTCTGGGCACTACAATTGAAGAAAGATATTGGCAAGCTGGAATGTGTCCAGAGGAGAGCGATTAAAATGATCAAGGGTCTGGAGAACAAGCCCTATGAGGAGCGGCTTAAGGAGCTGGGCATGTTTAGCCTGAAGAAGGCTAAGAGGAGATATGATAGCCATGTATAAATATGTGAGAGGAAGCCACAGGGAGGAGGGAGCAAGCTTGTTTTCTGCTTCCCTGGAGACTCGGACGCGGAACAATGGCTTCAAACTACAAGAGAGGAGATTCCATCTGAACATGAGGAAGAACTTCCTGACTGTGAGAGCCGTTCAGCAGTGGAACTCTCTGCCCCGGAGTGTGGTGGAGGCTCCTTCTTTGGAAGCTTTTAAACAGAGGCTGGATGGCCATCTGTCAGGGGTGATTTGAATGCAATATTCCTGCTTCTTGGTAGGGGTTGGACTGGATGGCCCATGAGGTCTCTTCCAACTCTAGGATTCTATATCCACAGAGCACTGAGGACTCAAACAATAATGGATCTGGACCAAATGTGGCATGAATACTCAATATGCCCAAATGTGAACACTGGTGGTTTGAGGAAAGTAGACCTTGACATTTGGGAGTTGTATTTACTGGGATTTATAGTTCACCTACAATTAAAGAGAATTCTGAATCTCATCAGAGATGGAATTGGGCCAAACTTCCCAAAGAGAATCTCCAGGACCAACAGAAAATACTGGAGGGCTTTGGGAGGAATTGACAGTGATTTAGTGGAGATGTGGTTTACCTACATCCGGAGAGCATTGTGAACCCAAACAATGGATCTGTACCAAATTTGCCACAAATACCCGATACACCAAAATCTCAATACTGATGGGGTTGGGGGGGGGGGATTTATTTTGTCACTTGGGAGTTGTAGTCACTGGTGTCTAACCTATAATCAAAAGCACTCTGAACCCAGCCCATAATGGTGCTCCTCCTCCTGATGCTGCTGGGCCACTATTAGTCCCATGTTGTGCGGGTACTTTTCCCCTGCCTTGAAGGGACGTGAGCCTCCCTCCAGTCTCGCATGCTCGCCCACACATGCGCACTATGCTGCCATGTATTGAGCACACTTGCTCTCCCCACTTGGCATTTCAGGAACAGTCCTCCCCTTGGCTGAGAGGGCTGCTGAGAGGCCGGTCAATCACAGCAGAACATTTGGTGGGAGGATTTGCTGTGTTTCCAAAAAGGAAGAGAAGGACAGGCAGAGAGATCTTCAGCCTTCTTTGCCAAAGGGATTCCTCAGACCATCAGAAATGTGTTTTTTCTGAGGGTCTTTGGTGACCCCTGTAACCCCCCCTCAGGAGTTCCAACCCCCCAGGTTGAGAAACACTGCTCCAAAGTGTTTTGGAGGCAGAAAAAAAAACTTGAAACTCATCCATCATATACAAATATACTGTTTTATTCTACGGGAATCTTTCGATTAACTTCTATCAAGGGAAAAACCAGGGGAAAGAATTGTCTTCTTTTGAAAAGTTTCAAACATGATGGTTTAGATAGATCCCTTGCTGCTTATTATTCCCCGAAGGAAAATAATCATAATAAATTTCACACAATTTCTAAGAAAAACAAACTGAAAACCAGTCTGACAGACATAAATAGCTGCACTTCCGAAGACGTCCCACCTACTGTGGGCTTCTCAATTACAGAGGAGGACGAATCTGGGCCGACTTGACATGCAACCAAGACACCACTTTTTTAAAAATCCTTTACAGCGCCATACAGTGAAAGTATATTTGTTAAGAAACACAAAAAGCTCATTTTTTTAAAAAAAAAAATGAGGGATTTTGAAAAAGTTTCAGAAGAATGCTTTCGAAACTGGCAATAGTGTTATCCGCTATTCAACTACTAATTCTTACAGCTACGAGGGAAGTGAAGAGCAGGAAGGAAAAGATGGTGGAGTAGGAGTATCTGAAATCATCTGCGATTTTCTTCTAAACGAAATTAGACCGGGAAAGTCACTCTTTCTAAATGGTGCAACGGGTTAAACCAGGCATGGGCAAACTAACTTGGGGGATGCATGCTAGTGTTCCTTGGTATAAGAGGACTGTCTGCCCGATAATGGAAGGAAGGAAAGAGAGAAGGAAGGACGAAAGGGAGGAAGGGAAGGGTGGCAGGAGAAAGAGGGAGAAAGGTAATGAAGGAAGAGAGGTAAGGAGGAAGGAAAGATATAAGAAAAGAAGGATGAAAAGCAGGAAGGGAAGGATAGAAGGAGAAAGAGGGAGGTAAGGAGGAAGGAAAGAAGAAAGACAAGAAAAAAGGGGGAGGAAGGATGAACGAGTGGAAGGGAAGGATGGAAGGAAGGGAAGGAAGGACGAGAGGAAGAGGAGGATGAAAGGAAGGAGAAAGAGGGAGAAAGGAAATGAAGGAAGAGAGGTAAGGAGGAAGGAAAGATATAAGAAAAGAAGGATGAAAAGCAGGAAGGGAAGGACAGAAGGAGAAAGAGGGAGGTAAGGAGGAAGGAAAGAAGAAAGACAAGAAAAAGGGGGAGGAAGGACGAACGAGTGGAAGGGAAGGATGGAAGGAAGGGAAGGAAGGACGAAGGAAAGAGAAGGAAGGAGGAAGAAAAAGGGAAGGGAAGGAAAGGAAGGAAGGAAGGGAGGAAAAGGGGAAGGAAGGAATGGAAGGAAGGAGAAAGGGGAAGGAAGGAGAAGGAAAAGAGAGAGGACGAAAGGGTGGAAGGGAATGAAGTGAAGGAAGGGAAGAAGGGAAGAGAAGGAAGGAAAGACAAAAGGAAAGGAAGGAGAAAGAGGGAGAGAGGGAAGGAGAGAGGAAAGGAAGGAAGGAAGGACAGATGAAAGGGTGGAAGAGAAGGAAGGAGGGAAGGAGGTAAAAAGAGGGCGGTAAGGAAGGAATGAAGGAAAGAGGGAGAAAAGAGAGAAGGATGGGATGGTGAGAGGAGGGCCTGAGAAAAGAGCCCAAGGGGACGCATTTGGTCCCCGGGCCTGGGTTTGCCCATACCTGGGTTAAACCCTTGTGCCGGCAGGACCGCTGACGGACAGGTCAGCCATTCAAATCCGGGGAGAGTAGGTTGAGCTTCCTCTGACAGCTCCAGCTCCCCATGCAGAGACATGAGAGAAGCCTTCCACAAGGATGGTAAAACATCAAAACATCTAGGCGTCCCCTGGGCAACATCCTTGCAGAAGTCCAATTCTCTCACACCAGAAGCAACTTGCAGTTTCTCAAGTCATTCCTGACATGAAAAAAAAATGTGCATCTTGGAATATCAAACGAAAAATGGGATCTCTGTCCAGAAATGGCAAACTTCAAAGGACGAGGGAGAGAGGACATCAAAAGGAGTAGAAGAGGTGCTTTAAAAAATTTCCCTGTACTACAGCAGTCAATTTGGTTCAAGGCAGCGGGACAAGGACAACCAATTACACAACAGCAAAAGAGAAGACTACTTTCTGATTTTATTGTTACCTTTTTTTGTTACGGTTAGAAAGAATACCCCAAAACACACCCACGCACACAAAAAAGGAGGTCTTTGTTCAACGTCGGAGAGAGAGAGAGAGAGATAGACCAGAGTGTTTTAGACACAAAAAAGAACCAAAAACAAAAAACAAAACAAAAAATCGGACTTCTCGCCTTAGAAATCAGATGACTAGACAAAACTGCCAATAAAAACATACATACAATTTTTCTGCTTTTAAAAAATAGTTTTGGATCTTCAAAGTGATCTGCAAGACTGAGAAAAAGGGTCATACACTGGGGATGGGGGAGTAGTGAAATGCGTTTGACCTAGCTAGGGGGTTAGCACCCTGCGTTTGGGTTACAAGGGCAAGAGGGGTTTCTACTGGGGTGAAGTGGCCGGCGGCAGAGATTACAGCTTGTCGGCAAAGTCTCTTCCAAATATGGACCTCGGTTGAAAGGAAGTGGTAAAGAGAGTAGTCAACCTGCGCGAGGATTAGAATGTAGTTCAACATTCTGGTGTTGTTTTTAAAAGGGGGTGCACAATTAAAAGGGGGAGGGGCAGATAATTAAAAACAAAACTAAAAACCCTATATTTTGTAAGATGCCAGAAGGCCACTCCCTCCAAAATGTATAAAAAAAACAAGGCCTATCCAAAAGGAGATGATAAACAAAAGGAAAGATTCAAAAGTGGATGGGGCACCCTTCCTGTTTCAAAGCCACTTGGCCTTTTAATAACAATCTGGGTGATGATGGGGAATTTTGTGTCAAAATCCCCCATTTGTCTGAATGGAACTGTGTCTTTCTGTATGTCAACATATGTGCACACACATAACATGGGTTACTTGTCTCATCAAAGTGATGCGAGGAGGGCAGAGTTTGAAAAAGTTACTTTTTGGGACCACGGCTTCCCAAACTTCCTGACCAAAATGGCCGGAGAATTTGCTACTGGCCAAAGGAGGGATGCAACCGAGCCAGTGAAGAAATTTCAAAGCATCCTTCCAAGGTGAACCGTCCAAAAGCTTAGCCTGTTGCCCGCTTCTCCTGGGGCTGGATCAGCATTTCCTAGTGTCCAATCAAAGTGGAATATATCTATATATATGTATACATGTGTGTTTGTGTATATATATATATATTTGGAAAGGAAAAGGGCAAGGAAATCAAATTGGTGTGTATGGTACAGACGCCATTTCCACTGGTTTCCACCCAACTAGGTTTGGTTTTGCATCCTACGGCAAAGTGTTAGGAAACCCCACAGTTCTGTGGGCAGCAGCTACACTGCAAAAGCATTCAGGGGGTTAATCTTTGCTTCCATGGTTCAGAGAGAAGGATATACACAACAGGTTTCCTTTTAAGAATGAAAACAAAAAAAACCCAATAATCCGTAATTGGTTTTCATCCCACTCAAAGCACCACTGGGGCGTGTGTGGAGCGAAATAAATGAGTCCATCTGAAGACATTGTTTTCAGGATCGATTGCAGCCTCCGTTGTTTTCTTTCTTGCGCCTTCTGCTATTTTGCATCCTCTTGGTTCTCCTTTTGCGATCTGCTGCAGTCGACGGCGGCTCCTTTAGAGAGTTCACGTGACACGAAAGGGACCATCTCCCCAAAAGCTGGGTGTATTCACAGTTTGGTGCTTTCGCAATGTGTATCAGAAAGGGGAGGGAACAAAGGAAACAGAACCAAAAGGAGAGAGAGAGAGAGAGAAAGAGAGAGCACACAACCCCTTTCGCCCGCCTTCAGTCTGAAAGCTCAGGATCAGAGTCCTCTGCTTTGACTTTGGCAAGTTCTTCATGCACCTCTCGTACCATGAGGATGCGCGTCAACATGATGTCCAAAGTCCCTGGATCGATGGGCATTGTGGAATACCACATGGGGCTATTGGGAACACACGAACGCTCTGGCTGGAGGTAAAAGACGTCGCTCCGCTGCTTCACGCTTTCAGAACTGTTTGTGGGAACAAAGGAGTGAGTGGGTAAAGTGGCAGCCAAGAAACAATACTGACGCAAGGAAAAGAATAGGGCTGGGAATTGCGAGCTGAGTGTCAAAGCAAAGAAGATAGCAGAAAACATAACAAAGAGAAGCAAGAATGTGGAGATCAACAGCTCATGTCAGCAGAAGAAGTCAACCAAGGGCAGGGTCAAAGCAACTCTTAAAACCAAAACAAAAGCATTCTATTCCTCTCTCACCTTTTTCTCAAAGTAAGACTTGACAATAATATTTCATTTTGGCTAAGTGTTTCCTTAACGTTGTCTCACAAATCATGCCAGGCAGGTTTGCATTAACTGTCAAGATGAATGTATGTAACAGGCATGGGCAAACTTTCAAACTTGGGAGCCACATGCTAGCACTCCCTGCTAGGACTGGCTGCCCGGTGATGGATGGAAGGAAGAAGAGAAAGAAGGAAGGATGGAAGGAGAAAGATGGAGAGAGGAAAGGAGGGAGGAAAGAAGAAATGAAGGCAAGACAAAAGGGAAGGAAGGAAGGATAAAGGGTGGAAGGAATGATTGAAGAAAGGGAAGGGAAGGAGAAAGGAAAAAAGGAAGAAGGAAGGGAAAAAGAGATGGATGGATGGGAGGGAGGGAGGGAGGGAAGGATGAAGAAAGGATAAATGAAAGAGAAGGAAAGAAGGGAGGAGAAAGAGGGAAAGAAGGGAAGGAGGTAAGAAGGAAGGACAAAAAGGTGGAAGGGAAGGATGGAAGGAGAAAGAGGGGGAGGTAAGAGGAAGGAAAGACAAAAGGGAGGAAAGGAGCAAAGGATGGAAGGGAAGTAGGAAGGAAAAGCAAAAGGGAGGAAAGGATGGAAGGGAAGGATGCATGGATGGGTGGATGGAAGGAAGGAGAGAAGGAAGGAATGATGAAAAGATGGAAGGGAATGGAGGGAAGAAGAGGGAGGGGAGGGAGGGAGGGAGGGAGGAAAGAGAAAAAGGAAAGACAAAAAGGAAAGAAGGAAGGAAAGAGGGAGAAAGGGAAGGAAGGGTGGGAGGAAAGGAGGGAGGGAGAAAGAGGGAGGTAAGTAAGGAAGGGAAGGAGGAAGGAAAGGGAGAAGGAAGGAAGGATAGGATGGTGAGAGAGAGGAGAGCCTGAGAAAAGAGCCCAAGGAGCCACATTTGGCCCCTGGGCCTGAGTTTGCCTATACCTGGTATACAACATACAGACATTTGATCCAAGGTCCAGAAGCTAGACTCAAGTTATATAATAAATATAAATAAACTTTTATTGTACCCCGCCACCACCTTCTCAAAGGGGACTCGGGGCGGCTAACATGAGGCCAAGCCCAAAATTATAGAACAGCAAAATAAAATACAAAGAAGCAAAAATAACATCAAAATAAAATACATGAAACAACAAAATAAAATAAACAGTTACTAAATAACATGATAGACATCGAAATAGGACACAATGGGCGGGCCAAATGCACAGGATAACATTGATCAAACCCTGGATGAGATAAGGGAATGAGAAGCTGATTCCCAGGAGGGGCTTCTGCAGAGGCTTAGGGTGGGAATTGGTGCCTTTCTCTATCCATAAATTCCAAATAATTTCTACAAGGAGAGCCTCAGGGCATCAACCGACTTGATAAAGTATGAGAGGAAGCAAAGAGAGATGGTATCACTCACCACTTTGATAAGTAGAATTCATAAAGCCGAACTGGGCATCTCAAGGGGTTGTCAGTGTTCTCGACCATCTCCACTGCCGTTGGGACCTCTTCACCTTCGTGGCGTTTTCGTTTGCCTACTAGCTTATCTGGAGATGGGACAGGAAAGGACAGGAGGAGACAAAGTATAAGGGGGTGCCAGGCTTCTCAGTGAGTTGCTGTCCTTCTGCAGAATCTCAGTACAAACACGTGTACGGATCAGCAAGTGACAAAAGCAACAAACACCGACAACGCAAGGAGGCCAAGAACAGACAACAGATTCACTCACCGGATTCAACTTCCTGCTTTTGGAAGGGAGGAAAGAAGCGTAAATACGTCATCTTGGTATTGTACTTTAGAGTCCGGGTGCGCCGCATGACATGGGCAAAGGACAGCTTCATATGTTCGCTGACGTTCTTCAGCTGGAAATATTTGGTGTTGAAGAACAGCAGTGTGTTCAGGAGAACGATGGGGGAGTAGGCGCCCAGCTGCTTACACTCCCATAAGTGCTCCTCTTCGATTCTTGAGAACATGTAGCCTGAAGATTTTGGAGAGGGGGGGAAGGAGGGAAGAGATGTTGGGAGTCAATCCCACACTGCCCAAGTCTCGAGTCCTTAATGAGGAACAGTTTAATTAGTTTAGTATAGACCAGGGGTCCTCAAACTAAGGCCCGGGGGCCAGATGCGGCCCTCCAAGGTCATTTACCCGGTCCTCGCTCAGGGTCAACCTAAGTCTGAAACTACTTGAAAGCACACAACAGCCAAAAGCAGGCCCACACTTCCCATTGAAATACTAATAAGTTTATATTTGTTAAAATTGTTCTTCATTTTAATTATTGCATTGTTTTTAAGTGTTTCTTTGCACTACAAATAAGATCTGAGCAGTGTGCATAGGAATTCATTCATGTTTTTTTCAAATTATAATCCGGCCCTCCAACATTTGATGGGCTGTGACCTGGCCCTCTGTTTAAAAAGTTTGAGGACCCTTGGTATAGACTGAGGGAATTCCCTTCTCCCATGTCTCCTGTGTGAGAACTGGAATCTAACTAATTTCTTCTTGCTTCTCTTTTCTTGCTCTTATTCTGATTGGTTGTTTAGACAGTCAGTCAGTAGCCTTTATTTCAGTCAACAAACCATCGGCTAAGTCAAGTGAAAGCAGAATTATGAAATACAACATTTAAGTAATTAATAACATCACATTTGACTTATGATTAATGAAAACAAGTATAATCATTCGCTATCGGCTGAAATGGTTGTTTAGAATGGATACTTTTATACTGCAAGCTTTTTGAATCTGACTTCTGCCTTCTTACACTTAAGTATGGAGAGTATTTATTTATTTATTTTTATTTACAGCTTTTATATTCCGCCCTTCTCACCCCGCAGGGGACTCAGGACGGATCATAATGTACACATATATGGCAAACATTCAATGCCAATTTTTGACATACAAACGTATACAGACATACACAGAGGCTATTTAACTTTTTCTGGCTGCCAGGGGAGCTGTCGCTTTCATCGTCCATCTGCGACGCTGATGAAGCACTTCCGCATTCCCCGCATGCTTCCCCGCTGGAATGCTTTGCTGGAGTCTTCTTTATGGCCTCATAAATCAATTAATTTAGCCTCCCCACACTTTAAGGTGGTACCTTATTTTCCTACTTGACAGATGCAACTGTCTTTCGGGTTGCAAAGGTCGACAACAGGCTACACAATTGGTTGGAAACCCACTCCAACCCGGGCTAGCTTCGAACTCATGACCTTTTGGTCAGAGTGATCTTAATGCAGCTGACACTCAGCCAGCTGCGCCACAATCCCGGTGCTCTGTGTCTAGTCAGAGTATGCGCTGTGTGCTTTAAGATCTCTCTCTGCTTGTGTGTCAGGAGAAATACAGAGATTGTTTTTTCCCCTCTCTTGAAACCTTAGAAGAGACGGGTATTGGAGTAGCTCAGACCCAGTTCTTTCCCATGAAGAAACGTGGTTAATTCTTTATTATTGCAAATAAACCTTTTGTGATTTTAAAAATTGGACTCTGCATGATTTCCTCCTAAGCTCTGAATTCGTTGCAACCACATCACATATTTGCGCTTTGCTAGCTAATGAGCTGAAGCTCAACTTTTGTATCCTGTTTGTTTTTGGATTCTCTGATGTATATTTTAGGGTAGTTCTCCATAACAAGAGACACCCAGTCAATCATTTATCAGGAGCCAATTGCTGGTGTACCACTGAATATATGTTATGCGGATTCCTGAAAATAATGTTTGGATAGACAATATTCCTTCCTACAGTCCTCTGTTCAGGAATGCCACAGGATTTGGGCTTATGGAAGCAGCTAGCCAGGGCTTTTCCAAGAACTTTCTGGATCAAATGACAGACATTTCATTTCAAAGATCATTTGGTTCCCCAAAACAAGATGGTCACACGTTGTACAAATGACCTAAATTGATCCTAGCAGTATATCATTTCACAATGGTTGGCTGAACAGATGAAGTTCGGAGGGACTGGAATGAAAATGCATCTAACTGTGTTATGTTGGGGACAGAAGACATCTCTGACTAGACTTTCAGAAATACCCGTTTTTTATCTTTACTATTATCTGCAACAGGTAAAAAAGGAAATACTAAATGTGGTCTTGGAATTGTTCTCTCCTAAGTAACTGTCTGTTGTTGTGTGTCTACAAGGTGTTTCTAATTGATGGCATGCTGGAGGACTTAGGGAGAATACCTGTCTCAGAATCTCTAGTGAATGTGCCCTCCCACATCAATAGTGAAAGGACCAAGGCAGAGACATCTCCAGCCCATCCCCTGTTTGGGTATCAGCCAGCACGTCAATGACTTAAATCTAGAAATAGTTTTCTAAGATCTACAGAGACACTCGCTGGAACACCTCAGCAAGCGAGAGTCCAAAAGTGGCAGGCTCAAACCCAGAACCTCAACCAATGGCTGATACCAAATGAGAGACTCCCCCTGGGCACACAGAAGACGGGGCGACTTGGAAGGCGCTGAACAGACTGCGCTCTGGCACCACGAGATGCAGAGCCAACCTTCAGAAATGGGGCCACAAAGTGGAATCCACGACATGCGAGTGTGGAGAGGAGCAAACCCCAGACCACCTGCTGCAATGCAACCTGAGCCCTGCTACATGCACAATGGAGGACCTTCTTGCAGCAACACCAGAAGCACTCCAAGTGGCCAGATACTGGTCAAAGGACCAAACTACCAAACTCACAAATTTTGTATTTTGTCTGTTTGTTTGCTTTGTTCTGTTAGAAATGTAATATAATTGACACGACAAATAAAATAAATCTCTAGATCCTCCAACACAACTCTGTGGTCCATTTCTGGTGGAAGTTGGCCACAGAGTCACACTGGAGGACCCAGAGATTCCCAGAGAGGCATTTTTAAATTTGTGTTTTCTCCTGTGCCCTTAACCCCTGCAAAAATGGAGGGGCTAATGTATAAGCCCTTGAATACATAGTAGGAGACACAAGGTGAAAAGCCACATAACTTATTATAGGCCACTTTCCTGCTCCAAGTAATTCTCCCTTTTGAGATGTGCCCTAATGAGAAGATGGGAAAAACATATAGCCACTTACCACTGGGAAGTATTGTAGGCTCCCAGACTTTCAACAGTTTCGTAAGCTCAATCATAAACCTGGAGTAGGGCTCAGTAAAAATGTTATCTATTCTACCATTCTCAAACAGGTACTGCAAGAGAAAAGAAAAAGGGCAATGAGGCATCACTTGAGATTTGCAGAGATGTATGAGTGGGTTACAGATTTATACACTTACATACTTACCCCCTCCCCTCCCCTCTTTACCTCCCATGTTCTCGACCGCTAAGGTATGTATTGAAGATATGTATATATGTATGTTTTATATTTGGAAAATTTAATAAAGATTTATATATAAAAAAGAGATTTGCAGAGATCTGTGTAGAGCAGGAAGGGAAATCTTGTGGCCTGCCCTCCCACATCAACACATTGAAAATAATTTAAAAGCCCGCTGTAAGATTTATTACATACTAGCTGTACCCTGCCACGCGTTGCTATGGCCTATAGTAAATCTTATCAAAGTTGAGGTAGATATCTGGGCTATTATGAAAGAGAGGTACCTACCTATTCCTTCCCCCTTTTCCTCCCCCTTTCTCTCCTTTCTTCCTTCTCTACCTCTTTCTTTCTTTCCTTCTTTCTCTACTTGGTTTCATCCTTCTCTCTTTCCTTCATTCCCTCCCCCTTTCTTCCTTTGCCCCCCCTTTCTTCCTTTGCCTCCTTTCTTCCCTCCATGTTTCCTTCCTTCTTTCATTTTTTATTTCCCTTTCTCCTTCCTTCTTTACCTCTTTCCTGCCTTTCCTTCCTTTTATTTTTCTTTCCTTTCTACTTTCTCTTCTTCCTTCCTTCGGTACCTCTTTCTTTCCTGCCTTCCCTCCTTCCTTTCTTCCTTCCCAATGCTTACCAAACCCTTCTCATGGGAGTCCTGTGTGCCACGTTTGGTTTAATTCCGTCGTTGGTGGAGTTCAGAATGCTTTGATTATAGGTAAACTATAAATCCCAGCAGCTACAACGGAGGGGGGTGGGAGGAGGAGGAGGAGGAGTGCATGGGCGGGGCGTCGGTGGGTGTGGGCGGGGCTTCGGCGGAGGGGGTGGGAGGAGGAGGAGTGCATGGGCGGGGCGTCGGTGGGTGTGGGCGGGGCGCGGGGGGGAGGAGGGGGGTGGGAGGAGGAGGAGGAGGGGTGCAGGGGCGGGGCCTCGGTGGGTGTGGAGGTGCAGAGGGTGCGTTGGCCGTTTGGCCATGTGCACGCGCCAGGGACTTTGCGCCATTGCGCATGCTCAGTTGTTTTGTCGTTTTGTGACTGTGTTGTTGTGTTGTTTTTTATTTTGATTCGATTTGTTTGTACCTTGTGGGTTGTGGTAGGTGCATGGGAATTTTGGTAAATTTTCGTTGGGTTTTTTTTTAGTTTTGCTGTCCCGTTGGACACCCCTTACAGATTTATATATATAGACTAGCTGTCCCCTGCCATGTGTTGCTGTGCCCAGTCTGTGTATATGTGTGTATATATGTGTGTATATATTTGTGTATAGATGTGTGTTTGTGTGTGTGTATATATATGTGTGTGTATATATTTGTGTATTTGTGTGTTTATATGTGTACATGCATATTGTGTATATGTGTGTGCATGTGTATATGTATATATGTGTGTACGTATATGTATGTGTGTATATGTGTATATTTGTGTGTGTTTGTGCATATATGTGTGTGTGTGTATGTATATGTGTGTATGTGTATATGTATATATGGTGTATTTTTTGAGTTTTTAAGTCTGTTCGCTGGGGTTTTGTGTGTGTGTGCGTGTGCGCGTGTACGTGTGTTTATGGGTGATGGCCACTCGTTGGACTGTTAGGTGTATTGTGTCCAAATTTCGTGTAAATTCATCCAGTGGTTTTTGAGTTCTGTTAATCCCACAAACAAACATTACATTTTTTTTATTTATATAGATTCTCAACAATCCAAATTGGCAAATGAGACGGTTCAACCTTTTGGACTCAGGGACGTGTCCATTTTTGCTGTAGACAAAACTAATCTACTCCAGATTCATTTCTGTTATCTCCTCCTAACATGGAGATCTCTTGCAGGTGGTTTTCTTCTCTAGGGAATGAACACCTTTAAAGAATGGTCTATTTCACATGTAAGAAGAATCTGAAAAATCTGGCACACAACTAGAGGCAGCCCTAGGTAATTTTCAATGGTAAGCAAACAGTATTTTTCCCCCCCTCCCCCACAATCACTGATATATATTTTCTGTTCATCGTGGGAGTTCTGTGTGCCATATTTGGTTCAATTCCATCACTGGTGGAGTTCAGAATGCTCTTTGATTGTAGATGAACTATACATCCCAGTGACTACAACTGGCATATGTCAAGGTCTATTTTCCCCCAAGAGCTCAAGAGCGCCCCTGGGCAAAATCAACTATACTGCAAATGCTTACTTTGCGTAATGGGTTGAGCCGCCCCTGCACAGAACACTCCTTCCTTTACATGTTATGTTAATCTGAGAAATCAGTTCAATATGAGATGTACAAGGAGGTGTTCTCGGTGGCTACTCCTCAAATTCAGAATTCATTCTCTTTGGAGACACTACAAAGCTTGAGCTTCCAGAATGTTCTAAGAAGTTGTTTTTGTGGCCCAGTGATGGGGAAGAATAATTTATTTACATCACTTATATCCCGCCCATATCAGCCCGCAGGCGACTCATATGGGCGGGATATAAGTGAGCATGTTAGTTGTCTTCTTGGGATCTTGGGGTGGAATCTGCAATAATTCAATACTTTAAAGGCAAGTGTCAAACTTTTAAAAAGTTGTCAACAGCACACAGCCCCAAGAGAACCATTCAAGGATAACCAACATGAAAGGACATCTTCTGGATATATTCAGAACAGCTCCCAAGGTTTTGAAATACAGTAAGACCTCCCTATCTGCAGGAATATGTTCTTGGGACAGACTATGGTTACCTAAAATCGCCAATACGGCTGAAGGAAGTAAGTATATATACTCGAATACAAGCCAACCTGAATATAAGCCGAAGCACCCAATTTTACCATAAAAAACTGGGGAAACTTACTGACTCCAGTATAAGCTGAGGGTGGGAAATGCAACAGCTACTGGTCAATTTCAAAATAAATATAGATACTAATAAAATTATATTCATTGAGGCATCAGTAGGTTAGATGTTTTTAAATATTTACCGTATTTCAAAGAAAAACAGTAAACTAGCTCTGTAAGTGGAAAAGTAGGGTCAACAAAAACAATATGGTATCTACAAAAATTATAATAATAATAAATTCATTTGTATCCTGTCCTATCTCCCCATGGGGACTCAGGCCAGCTTCCAAGATAGTAGCAGGCAACATTCAATGCCTATATAAACAATTCAGAGCCAGATATAGATCTATAATTATATATACTAATTTCACATATGCATTTCCCAGGCTTTTGAACAGAGGCTAGATGGCCATCTGTTGGGGGTGCTTTGAATGCAATTTTCCTGCTGGGTTGTTGTAGGTTTTTTCAGGCTATATGGCTATGTTCTAGAGGCATTCTCTCCTGACGTTTCGCCTGCATCTATGGCAAGCATCCTCAGAGGTAGTGAAGTCTGTTAGAACTAGGAAAATGGGTTTATATATCTGTGGAATGACCAAGGTGGGACAAAGAACTCTTGTTTGTTGGAGCTAGGTGTGAATATTTCAACTGACCACCTTGATTAGCATTTGATGGCCTGGTAGTGCATGGGGCAAACTTTTGTTGAGAGGTGATTAGATGTCCCTGATTGTTTTCCCTCTGTTGTTCTGCTGCTGTAGTTTTAGAGTTCCCCTGTTTTCAGAGTGTTGTTCTTTCTTTACTGTCCCAATTTTAGAGTTTTTTTAAATACTGGTAGCCAGATTTTGTTCATTTCATGGTTTCCTCCTTTCTGTTGAAATTGTCCACAAGCTTGTGGATTTCAGTGGCTTCTCTGTGTAGTCTTAAATGGTGGTTGTTAGAGTGGTCCAGCATTTCTGTGTTATCTAATAATATGCTGTGTCCAAGTTTGCTCAATAGGTGCTCTGCTATGGCTGACTTCTCTGGTTGAAGTAGTCTGCAGTGCCTTTCATGTTCCTTGATTCGTGTTTGGACGCTGCGTTTGGTGCATCTAATCACCTCTCAACAAAAGATTGCCCCAGTCACTGCCAGGTCACAAAAAAATATATATAATACAAAACATAGTAAAACCAAATAAAAAATATTAGCTCATATTCATCCTGCAAAAAAGATTGGCAGTGGGTGACCTGACACAAAACCTGTGTTGTACAGTGAGCCAATCTGTCTTGACAACATAAAGCATTCTTTCTGTCGGTTGTGCCTCAAAGCACAAGTAAAGAAACGTAACTTTCAATTACCTGCTGAATTCCAAGGCACAGATATAAGATGCTGTCGGGATCATACTTTTCACCATTTGGTCGCCGCACCTCCTGGATAAACTGGCACAAGCCAAAACTCAGTTCCGCAAAAGAGCAAGAGAGGATGTCCTCTTTGAGTTTTACAGACCGAACTGCAAGAAAGAGAAGCACCCAAAACACATCAGCTGCTTGAACAAGCAGGAAATTTCAGGTACTATGATGGTAACGTCAATTATTATCATCATAGCTACTCATGGCATCCCCTTTTTCAAGTTTCCCAAGCATTTGAAACAAAGGGTGCTATGTTGTAGTTTAGTTCTAGGTCACTTTTTCACAGAAAAATCATCCCCACTGGCTTACTGCAGTAGACAACAGCATTCAAGTCGCACAATCCAATACAAATTGCCAAGGCAAATAAATACTATAGTCCAACTGCATATACCAGACATGGGCAAACTTGGGCCCTCCGGGTGTTAGGAACTGTGGGAGTTGTAGTCCAAAACACCGGAGGCCCCAAGTTTGCCCATGCCTGACATAATAATAATAATAATAATAATAATAATAATAATAATCCTTTATTTGTACCCCGCTACCATCTCCCGCAGGACTCAGTGCGGCTTACAAGAGGCCGAGCCCAAAGTACATCATTAACAAAACAAAACAGACAACAATACAATGCAACAATAAATAAGCATACAATAAAACAATAACAAAGCACGACACTGTTAAAAACCTGTGGCAGGACCAAATGTAATAGTTAAAATTCTAAAAATGCTGGGCATGTCCAGGTGAGGTAGAATGGATATTTTGGGAATAGAATGGTGTGCAGACAATTCTAACTCTCTCATAAAGTGCATTAGGGACAATTGCTTGGAATTCCTTAATGTGGGAAGGCACACTGGAACATCCATGTTTTCAAACTCCCTTCTGAAGACTGCCAGTGTTGGGGAGTGCCTGATGTCCTTGGGGAGGGAGTTCCAGAGTCATGYGGCCACCACCGAGAAGGCCCTGTCCCTCGTCCCCACCAATCGCGCTTGCGATGCTGGTGGGATCGTGAGCAGGGCCTCACCAGATGAACGAAGGGATCGTGTGGGTTCGTATATGGACACYATCCCTTCATTCATGTGGTGAGGCCCTGCTCACGATTATACCCTTACTTTTGACGCCAACTTCAGTATAAACAAAGCCAAAACAGAACTGTCAAATTACAAATGTGTGGGTAAGCAACAACAACAACAACAAAACTTTATTTATATACCGCTCTATCTCCCCGAGGGGACTCAGAGCGGTTTCCAAATAACATATTCAATACATACAAAGAAAACAGCATAAACATAACATTAACAATATAAGTATTAAAAACCACAATATATTTATAATAATCCTGCCTGRTCAAGGCAATTTAAAAGGCTGGGCTGAGGCTAGTGCAATTTTAGAGGGCCTGGGAAATTAGGTAGAGTCTATGGCTGCAAATTTCCAGTGCCTAATAGAAGAGAGTAACCTGGGTAACTGGTAGAAAAGATATGGCCAATTTCAACAGTATCTGGGGTTAAGCTAGAAGTAGTCGTTCTCAAAGGTTTGTTTAAACCACCAGGTCTTCAGGCTCTTACGAAAGGAGGGGAGGGATGGGGCCTGTCTTATTTCTCTAGGAAGGGCCTTCCAGAGGCGGGGGGCCACCACCGAGAAGGCCCTCTCTCGTCCTCACCAACCGTGCTTGTGATGGTGGTGGGAGCGAAAGGAAGGCTTCCCTGGAAGATCTTAAAGTTCACGCTGGTTGACAGAGGGAGATGCAATTGCGAAGCAGATGGAGGTGTGTGATGTACTTTAAATAAACAGATTGCTCCAAGTGCCCCTCGTCACTGAAGTCCCAAACCAAAGGGCAGAAATTCAGAGGGACTGGGAGAATGCTGGTTAGCAATTTGGATACGACATGAGGAGAGGAAGGAATTCATATCTGTGAGCAAATGAAATCAAACAGTGAGAGGAAAGCCTGCATTTTGTGAAGTACTACTGGAAAAGCATCACTTAAACCACTTTGTAGTGAAGTTATACCACAGTGTCTAAAACAGTGGTTCCCAAACTTTGGTCCACCAATGTTTTGGACGTCAACTCCCAGAATTCCTGACTTGGTGGGGCTTCTGGGAGTTGAGGTCCAAAACACTTGAGGGCAAAAAGTTTAGGAAACATTGGGCTAAGAGAATGAGATGAGTTTCAGAAAGTTTCTAATTCAAATCTCAACTTGGGAAAGTATTCCAGTGGGTGACCTCTTAACCTCAGCTTCTTGCCTTATCTGTGAAATGGGGACAGAAGTACTAATCCACCTTAAAAGGTTGTTAACACATGTGGCATGATAACATATATGAACCGAAGTAAACAATGAAAGCATTACCATTCTCTAAGGGCCACCCCCACCCTCCAGCACGAATTTCTCCCACAGGTAATTAGATTACTGAACTAAGACTTGGGAGACTGAAGTTCTAGGCCGTGAACCAGCTATGGAACTGATTAGTTAGCTGGTCCTCGACTAGTGGTTTGTCTTCAGCTTGACCTGGCCTACCTCAAAGCGTTGTTCAGAGGATAACGTGTGCAGGAGAACAATCATAACCATCACCAAAATGGACAAAATGTGATGTGCAACATACAAATAAATAAGTTAGAACAAGGATATGTTACCTCCAAATTTCAGGTCTCCTTGGTCTTCTTGTGAGTTTTTCCACCGGACCCAATTCTTCCAGGCATTCACTCCATACATGTACTTGAGGGTCATCCCAGAAACGGAGCAGCCTGGATAGGAGCTCTTCACAAGCATCCGGGGCTCCACTGCCACAATGGATTTCTTCCTCCCCTATAAAAATGACAGAAGACAGTGGGTTGGCGTGCCATTAGATGTGCTAATAAAAGACATTGCATGCCAGTCAGGTCCATAGAGAGGCAGGTGGCGTGTGGACCCAAAACATCTCTGCGCTCCAGCAAATTGTCAATCTCCTGATACATCAGCAGCAGGTTGGTAAATCAGAGCTAACACAAGATAGCATTTCCTGTGCACACGTAACTTTCCACACTTAGCTTTGAAGTCAAAAGCAAGCATGGGGAAGAAGCAATGGCTCATGAGAGAGAGGGCCTTTTCTGCAGTGGCCCCGGGCTCTGAAACTCACTCCCCAGTGATATTAGGTAAGTCCCCACACTGGCAATCTTCAGGAGGAATTTGAAAACCTGATTATTCCAATGTGCCTTTAGTAATTGAATGTAAAATTCTTCCTGACCACACTTTGCACAAAATGTCCTTAGAAGCACTTTATTTTATGGTTTATGCAATGAAATCCTTCCTCATCCCCGGAGCCTCCTCCTTATAATTTACATTGTCCTATCTCCCAGTGTTTCAATTTTTTTTTAAAAAAAATTATCCTTGAATCTGGCCCTGCCTAGTGAATTTTTTGTGTTTTTAATGCTTGATTTTATATTGTTGTGTCGTATATTATTTTGATTGTGCATTTTATGTATTTTGCTTAGTTCTACTATGTTTTTGTTATATTGTTGTATTGTATTGATGGGTGTGGCCTCATGTAAGCTGCGCCGAGTCTCCCTGGGGGAGATGGAGTGGGGTATAAATAAAGTTGTTATTATTATTATTATTATTATTATTATTATTATTATTATTATTATTATGCTGGCCTTTCGGATTGCCTTTTTCTTCTCAAAAATTGAGTTCTAGCACAAATAGATGCTCAGTGGGTAGGCCTAGTAACCCAGCCCTATGAACCAAAGAGGGCATGGTGATGTGATCTGCAAATGGGATAACTGTATAAACGGTCAGAAATATTAAAATTAACTAGGTATTTTTAGTTACAAAAAGGTTAGTCAGGCACTGAAAGGGTTAAATGGATGCAATGACTTAGCAAAAGATGTACTTCAATGTAAGTTGTGCCTATTGCTTAGCAACACCTCAGTCTGAGAGAGCTCCCAGTGTGAGAGAAGCCTCTCAGTGTGAGAGAACGACCCAGTGGGAGAATAGGTCTCAGTGGTAGTAGGCCTCACAGAAAGAGTGTGAGGTAAGCCAGAGTATGAGAAGGCCTTGTGTGTGAAGCTCCAGTGTGAAGGTTGAACTTTATTTATGTTGTGGAAGCCTTGTTCTTGTAAATAGTGCAACCATATTATTATCCTATAGAGAGAAGCCTCCTATGGAAGAGATAACATGTGCGTTTTTGTTCTCTTATCACTTTGGGCTACTGGTGCTGGGTCACACTGCTGCTAATAAATTACTCTGCTGTGCATTTATGAGGAGGGTCTTTTATTGGGCTACTGGTACTGGGTCACACTGCTGCTGCTAAGTTATTCTGCTGTACATTTTGTTAATAAGCCCGTTCTCCCAACATAAACTTGTGTATAGGTTGACCTCGTGTCTAAGATGAGGCTAAAAGTTAGAGGCATGTTGTTGTGATAGAGTCTGCTAGCAATGATAGTAATACTGGTAGTATTAGGAGAAGCAGGAAAACTACTTGCGAGCAAGACTCTGTCGAAGAGCAACAGAGGAAAAGAATCCGGGAGATACTTAGTGACTCAATGGATGAGGATTCTTTTGAAGGTTTTGATGCAGATGATATGCTGGATGATGGGATATCAGACTCTGGGTCTGATGGAATGAATTGGACAAGGGTTCAAGAGATTTGGGATACTTGTGCAGAACCCGCAAGCAGTGGCACTTTTGAAGGTTGGAATAGTGGAGACACGGATGGGTCTTGGGTATCTTCAGGATTAGACCAGAGATGGACTAATTGGAGGAGTGGTGGAAGGGCCACAGCTGGGGAAGGGTCGAGTCGGATTAGGGGCGACTCCAGTTCAGACGAGGAATTGCAGCTGGGGCAGGGGCATTGGCTGAGTCAAACTCTGAGGATGAGTTGTAGATAAAATGGGTGCTTTTGCAATTGTAACTTTGCAATCGGTAAGGCGTTTGTTGGGTGCTTCCTGGATCGTTGTGTGGCTGAAGACGGGTTTGGAAGAAGACTTTGGGACGTAAGTTATGCTCCGGGTTTAAGCAGCAACGGGGGCTGGAACTGTGTGGGTTTCTGCTGGACTGCACTGTTTTGATATTTGCATTAGCTGCCGTATTGCCTCTGTTGCTTTGGCTCCTTGTAACATCCTTCGGATCGGGACCGGACGTTGCTGCTGCTCATTCCCTTTCGGACTGGACTGGACCGGACTTCAACCATTGACGAAACTCTCCCTCCCATGACTTTGGCTGTGTTCCTGGTGTTGGCGTTACTCTCCTACCCACAACTGGGCTTCGGATATTGGCGTAGTGTTCTCAGTGGCGTGCTGAGGCTTGGGTTACGTAGCCCTGGCAAGACTGTCGCTCACTGGAGTGAGCTGCAAACATTGTTCAATAGTTTTCTTGCTCCAGTCGTTTGACGGAGCAAGTCTGAGCTGAATTTAAGCATTTTAAATTTAATCTGGATTATATCTCTGGATAATCCAGATTATATTCTGGTTTAGTTTTTTGGTGGTTTTTTTTTTGCCTTTTGAGCTGTTTCACACTGAAGATCAAGTGTTTATGCCTTGTAGACTGATTTGGGGCTGTTTTGAGTTTGTTTGAGCAATAAACTTTATTATCTGAGTTGGCTGGCATCTGACCTTGACACATGTACCAAACAAATCTTTCTCTCTCCTTTAAAAGAATGCTCCTTACCCGTCTTTTGGGCTGTGGAAAACCATCTCTGTGTCTCCGCCTTGCCCGTGCACGCGATCCCAGCCCTCTGCTAATTGGGTCAAAAGAGTCTAATTTGAAAAGAAAAGGCAGAAATTTAGTACAGGAAAGGCAGCAGCAATTAGGAGAATACAGTTTATGTGGGAATAGGAAGCTGCCCCTCATCAGTGGGTCAAATGAACAGCAACTTAACAGAGTGTGTTCAGGGAACTGTTCCTTGGAGAAATGGAGTCATACTATGACTGGGGAAAGAAAAGGCCACCAAGAGTGGAAAATCTATGGATGCAGTTAGGGACAGTGATGCTTTTCACACTCTGGGGTTCTTTCAGTGAACATTGACCAACCTGAGGGGAAGTCAGCTTCCAGGTCCTGTTCCTGCTCCCCTTTGGAGAATTGCCTTGGCTCAGGCTCAGGTTCGGGCACCGTATTGGAGCGTAAGGCATAGTGGTTGAGCTCCTCCTCCCAGCTGTGAGGGGTGGAGACTGCTTCAGACTCCAAGTCACCGCTGTATGTGCTGCCTTGGTCTGGAATTCAGAGCAAGATAGGGAATGCAATGAATGATGGAAGAAGGCCAACAGGTGGATACAAAGCAAAGCCCACTAGAAAACTCAAGCTATTAAGGAGCCAAGCACTTGGGTGACTTGGCTGTGGCAAGCAAGGGATGCTGAGAAATATGTGGGAAGACCACCAAATGCTACCTCAAACCAATTCAAAGTTGGTGCATCCTCAATGACTGGCCACTCATCCTTGAAGCCCTTCAGCAAGAGAGAGCCCTTCCCCTTGGCTACTCTTTCCATCATGACATATTTCCAAATGTTATTTATTTTATTTTTTTATTTACTTCATTTATATACCGCTTTTCTCAGCCCTTAGGCAACTCAAAGCGGTTAACAYCAGCAATTTCAATACACACATTACAAAACCATTGGAGCATTTAAAAACAATAGCATAACAACAATTAAACAATCAATATGACAAATCATTCACGTCTCATCAATAGAATCAGAATCCAATCTCATCATCCGTTATTCCGTGTTCCTATAATCAATTACACTGCCTAATCYAATGCCTATTCGAACAACCAGGTCTTCACTTTCTTCCGAYATGCCAATAAGGAGGGGGCCYACRTGATATCTGTAGGAAGGGCGTTTCACAGCCGAGGGGCCACCACTGAGAAGGCCCTGTCTCTTGTCCCCGCCAGGCATGCCTGTGATGCCGGCGGGACTGAGAGCAGGGCCTCCCCAGATGATCTTAATGTCCCAGCTGGTACATAGGAGGAGATGCGTTCGAACAGGTAAGTCGGGCCAGAACCGTTTAGGGCTTTATAGGCTAAAGCCAGAACTTTGAATTGTGCCCAGTAGCAAACTGGCAGCCAGTGGAGCTGGCGCAACAGAGGAGTTGTATGCTCCCTGAGTGCCACTCCTGTTAGCATCCTGGCTGCCAAGCGTTGGACCATTTGAAGCTTCCGAGCAGTCTTCAAAGGCAACCCCACGTAGAGAGCGTTGCAGTAGTCTATACGGGATATAACCAGAGCGTGGACTACCGTGGCCAAGTCAGACTTCCCAAGGTACGGGCGCAGCTGGCACACAAGTTTTAACTGTGCGAATGCTCCCCTGGTCACCGCTTAAACCTGAGGTTCCAGGCTCAGCGATGAGTCCAAGATCACACCCAAGCTGCGAACCTGCATCTTCAGGGGGAGTGTAACCCCATCCAACACAGGTTGTAATCCTATGCCCTGTTCGGCCTTGCGACTGACCCCGAAACTCCGGATGATCTTCCCCAGCGGCTTCATGTAGATGTTAAACAACATGGGAGATAATATTGAACCCTGAGGAACCCCACAAGACAATGGTTGTGGGGTTGAACAGGTGTCCCCCAATAACACCTTCTGAGATCGGCCCTCTAGGAAGGATCGGAGCCACTGCAAAACAGTACCTTCAAAGCCCATTCCTGCGAGGCGTCCCAGAAGGATACCATGGTCGACGGTATCGAAGGCTGCTGAGAGGTCCAGCAGAACTAACAGGGACATACTCCCCCTGTCTAGCTCCTGGCAAAGATCATCCACTAAGGCGACCAAGACTGTTTCAGTTCCATGTCCCGGCCTAAAGCCAGACTGTGCCGAATCCAGAAAATCCGTTGAGCTAAATCATCCCTCTTCCTACCTTACATCTATCAGGTCAAGGAAATATTTCAAACTTCTTTATCCCTATTGTCCCACACAAGAGTACAGGGACAATACTCACTTTGTGGACTATTAACAGCATGAATTCATCTAAGGTCCTGTATACTAACCTTTCTCAAATATTTTAGGGTCCAGGAACAGCTCCTGCTCAGACGTTTGAGAGCCTGAAACAAGTAGAGAAGACACAGATATACAAACACATACAGAAACAAGTGGAGAAAATACAGATATTCAAACGCAGATAGAGAAAAAGCAGTACCCCCAGTAATCCAAAAAATATGTAATTCCATATAATGCTTGCTTGTACTGACCCATCCAGACCAATAGTTCTCAGATTTTTGCATTTATGTCCCACCAGCTACACTGTCAAAGAATCTGACGCCATGACAGCAAAAAAACATAGATAGCAGGAGTGAAGTATTTCTCAACAACATTTATATGCTTATTTATTTATGACATTTATATCCCGCCCTTCTCACCCCAAAGGGGACTCAGAGCGGCTTACAAGTTATATGCACACACAATATATTATATTAGCATAGCACAATACTAGTATTACGTATTACTATATTGTACTTTATCACTATACTGCAATATTAGTAATATTACATGTAAATATATAATAATAATCAGTATTAGCAATATTTTAGTATTAGTATTATTAGTATTAGAATTATTATTAGTATTACACTTTATTACATTATGATTATCAATATTATATGTAATCATAATGTAATACAGTATAAAACTAATAATTCTCATACTAATAATAATAATACTAATACTACTAATAATAAAACTAATATCAATATTATATGTATGGAGCCCCGGTGGCGCAATGGGTTAAACCCCTGTGCCGACAGGACTGAAGACCAACAGGTCACAGGTTCGAATCCAGGGAGAGGCGGATGAGCTCCCTCTATCAGCTCCAGCTCCTCATGCAGGGACATGAGAGAAGCCTCCCACAAGGATAATAAAACATCAAATCATCTGGGCGTCCCCTGGGCAACGTCCTTGCAGACAGCCAATTCTCTCACACCAGAAGCGACTTGCAGTTTCTCAAGTCACTCCTGACACAAAAAAAAATTTATATGTACATACATTATATTATTAGAATAGCACATTAGTATGATATAGTGCTATATTGTATTTATGTTATTGTATGACATATGTCACCCTCCCATTATCCTGCTATAGTTCAGCCCATGCCCACTTCCTCAGCAGTCGTATTCGTAAATGCCTTCAAATAACAATTTTATGAAAATGACTGGTTTAGAATTTCACAGGCATCTAAAACTGGGGCAAACCCTACGGAATACTTTTATTTATTTATTTAGGGTATTTTTTGCCCCGCCCTTCTCAACCCCCCTAGGGGGGACTCAGGGCGGCTTCCAGCCAGCATATATTCGATGCCTACAATTAAACACAGTAAAATACACAACAACAGTCATTATAAATAATTAAAACATTAAGTTAATACAATAAAATTTAATAAAAAAGAAGCCAGACTGGTGGCCATAGTTTCGCCGAGATCTGTAATTAATGAGTCCATTCAGCTTATCATAAAGCTCTCGTCGTCATTGTCCTTGTCAGTCTGCCAGATTACCCAAAGGCCTGGTCCCATATCCATGTTTTTAATTTCCTTCTAAAAGAGAGGAGGGATAACGATGATCTAATTTCCCCGGGGAGTGAATTCCACGGGCGGGGGGCCACCACCGAGAAGGTCCTGTTCCTCCTTCTCATTTGTGACAGAGGCGGGGCCGAAAGCAGGGCCTCTCCAAAAGATCTTAAATTCCTAGGCGGGACGTAGAAGGAGATACGTTATGACATCTTATTTTATTTTTCTGGTTATTTAATATTTAATGTTTATTTTACTTAAATGATATGTGTCTTTACTGTTCTAATGTAGCACAAATCGTAAAATCATACTACATAGTTTTGACATTAATATTGAAATCTGAAATATATACAGAAAGTAGTAAAGATGAACACAGTAACTTTACTACAGAATCAAAGGAGGAGTTAAGTAGCATACATTGGGATTCACCCATATGATGAAAACATGAGCATTTAAAGCAGCATTCCCAGAAAAGTTAACTTCCCAACCTTGTTTCACCCATTCAAAAGAAAAACCAGGCACCTCCTTGAGAATGTTCCTTATCCTTCTCATCTTCTGTGATGATTTCTGCCATCTGCAGGAGAGCCGTGTCAAAGGCATTCACGGGGTTCTTCTCCTTGACCTCTGGAGCAGCTTCTACCGCCTTTACGGTATTTTCCGGGGCAGGTGGGATAAACATAGGAACTGGAATCTAGAGGGAAGGTTTGATTTGGGAAGAGGGGAAAATTCAGTGGTGGTGTTGCATGTATTTGAGTAGAAAGCAGGCTCCAAATGCCTTGTTATTTATGATGGGAAAAGGAAAACCAGAAAGTTTTATTGTGAGTAATCTCACTGACAATGCAAACAAAGGCTGGCCGCTAATTCAGTTAAATTTAGGAAGACCTGGACCTGATCGCTCTGGGGATTCTGGGCCTGTTAGTCAGCCTGTCAAGTCAGGGGATTTCTAGTGCCATGTTCATGTTTTCCTGTTTGTTCCTGTTTCATGTTTCTAAGTGTTGACTATTGTTCCTGAATTTCATGTTTTGGATTTATTCTGTTTTTGTATTCCTGGTTTCTGGAAGCTACTAATGTACCCTTCTTTTTTGTGGATTATCTCTAATTTTTGGACTTTGGTTTCTGATACTATTTTGCTGAATTGCTTTCTATATCTTCTTCAATAAACTGCTTGCTATTTTACCTTGGACTGGTGTGTGTGTTAAGTGCAGAGTGCCGTGGAGTATAACAGTTTGCTTCCACTGACCAAAGATTCTGTTAGCCTAGCTAATAAGATTAAAAAACCTTGCCTTTTTCCATTTTATTACCTGACTACGGCAGCTAGAATTGTATTTGCAAAATACTGGAGGACAAAAGAGACATCCAAAAAAGAAAAATGGCAGAATAAGGTTTTGGAGATAACGATTATGGACGAACTGACCTATTGGCTATCCACAAACCAAGGGACCCCAAAGAAATACACAAATTGAGACCCAGTAAAAGACTATTTCAAACAACGGAAAACAGAAATTATAATCTAAAAAGAGTAAATCATAAATAAAGAAGAAAAGGAAGGGAAGCAAATAAACTCTGAAAAACAGATAACTTAAAAAAAACAAAACAGAAAAGACTATAAAGTCTAGATAGAAGTCAACAATCTATATATATAAAAATGGAAAGGGTGTTCAACGGGACAGCAAAACGCGAAAAAACCCCGACGAAAACGCACCAAATTTGCCGTGCACATACCTCAACCCACAAGGTATGCACAACACTCATCAAAATTCCAAAAAACATTTCAACAAACTCACAATTACAAAAACCAACTGAGCATACGAAGTGCCCAGGGGAGGAAGTACACACGCTATGCACTCTGGGAACTGTAGTTCTAGAACGCGGCCTGCTCGCTGGCGGCCAGGATGCTGCGCGAACGGAGAAAGGAAGGAAGGAAAGGAAGGAAGGAAGGAAGGGGAAGTTGAGAAGGTATATGAAAGAAGAAAGGTAGGAAAGAAAGAATACAGAGAGAGAAGGAGGATGGGAAAGAAGGGAGAAAGGAAGGAGGAAAGGAAAGAAAGATAGAAAAAAAGAAGAAAGGGAAGGGGAAGGGAAGGTGTCAAAAGGAAGGAAGGAAGGGGAATTTGGGAAGGGGAAGAGAGGGGAAAAAGCAAAGGAAGAAGAGAAAGGGAGGGAAGAAAAGAAAGAAAGAAAGAAAAGGAAAGTCTGGAAGTCAAGAGCAAAGGAAGGAAGGAAAGAGATAGAGAGGGAAGAAAGGAGAGAAAGAGGAAGGAAAAAAAGGGAGGAGGAAGGAAAGAGGAAGAGAAGGAAGGAGGAGAGAAGGAAAGGAAAAAGGGAAGGGAGGAAAGACGGAGCAAAGGAAGAAGAGAGGAAAGGAAGGAGGAAAGGAAAGAAAGATAGAAAAAAAAAAGAAAGGGAAGGGGAAGGGGAAGGGAGACAAAAGGAAGGAAGGAAGGAAGGAAGGAAGGAAGGAAGGAAGGAAGGAAGGAAGGAGGAAGGAAGGAGAGAAGGAGGGAAAGAAGGAAAGAAATAAAGAGAAGGAAGGATGGGAGCAAAAAGCTAAGGAAGGAAGTAAACAGGTAGAGAAGGAAGAAAGGGAAAAAGAAAAAGAAATGAAGGAAGGACTGAAAGAAGGAGAGAAAGAGGGAGAGAAGGTTGGCCACAGCAACGCGTGGCGGGTAAAGCTAGTACTATATATTTTTATTTTATTCTTATTTTTTATTATTTTTCTTAATTTATTATTTTTATTTTTTCCTTAAACGTATTTTCTCTATCTCCTATTTATACACTTTTTTGCATTCTTTTTACATACTTGTACCTTACTGTTCCTACTTTCCTATCCAAACCAAATATGTTCTCCCACTTTCAATGTTATTTTTTTTAATCTTCCTAATAAAAACATTTTTTTAAAACCTTGCCTTTTTCCCTGGAAAACTGACAAAGACTTTTTTCGCTAACAAGCAACTTGATCTTGAAACTCTATATTGACGAAACCTAACTCTTATATCTAATTGCTCATTAGTCTGTCCATCTGGACTTTCAATATCATCTTCTGAGCTCAGTTACTGTGGAATATGGCCTTTAGACAGAGACTGCTCATAGAATCATAGAATTGGAAGAGACCTCGTGGGTCATCCAGTCCAACCCCCTGCCAAGAAGCAGGAAAATTGCATTCAAAGCACCCCTTTTCAGTCTCTAGCTGCTCCTGCAGACTTGCAAACCCAAAATCTCTTGTGTCAACAGTCTGACTAACAGATCCAGAATCCCCAGAGAAACCATGTCCAGAGAGATCAAGTGCAGGCACAATCAAAGCCTGAACTACAACACTTGCTTCATTAAGTCAGGCACTTTTTATGGTCCTAAGGAAACAGTCTATACCAGGGGTCCTCAAACTGTTTAAACAGAGGGCAGGGTCACAGTCCCTCAAACTGTTGGAGGGCCGAATAATAATTTGAAAAAAACATGAATGAATTCCTATGCACACTGCATGTATCTTATTTGTAGTGCAAAAAACACTTAAAAACAATACAATAATTTAAATGAAGAACAATTTTAACAAATATAAACTTATTAGTATTTCAATGGGAAGTTTGGAGCCTGCTTTTGGCTGATGAGATAGGATTGTTGTTGTTGTGTGCTTTCAAGATGTTTCAGACTTAGGTTGACCCTGAGCGAGGGCTGGGTAAATGACCTTGGAGGGCCGTATCCGGCCACCAGGCCTTAGTTTGAGGACCCCTGGTCTATACTATGAATTACTCAGCCATTTATGATTTCAGTCTTAAGAGAGTATTTTTCAGTGTGATGCATCAAGATGTATTGGGTGCACACTGCTCTTTTCAGCACTGCCACAAGTCCTGATATGGAGACACTTTTAACTGGTGCATTTTTGGAGCTAGTCAGAAAGATGGGCTCTGCCCACTTCCCACTTACGGGTACTGGCATTCCCAGCGGAACTGGTGTGTACTGGGTGAAGAGATGAAGCGGTAGTGGCACAAACACAGGTACAGGAACAGGCACCATGATGATTTTGGGCGGAACTTCTTCTTCTTCTTCTGTCATATCAAACATAATAAAAGCAATCCTTATCAAAAAGCAGCTGGTCAGTCATTTGCCTTGCTTAACAAACTGTGTACTTTTCCTTGCTAACCACAACTGCTGCTCCAAACTCACCATCCCTTTCAACAGGGATGCAACCCATCTGGCCTCTTTAGAAGATTATTCTAGACCAAATGACCCAATCTTCAACCCAGAAGTCCATTCTTATGAAAGTCAGCTTTTGGTTTTAATTAAACTTGCATGTGTTCCACAAATCCTCCCAAGGAACTCCAAATCTTGCTCATTATTTTGTGTCATGCAAAGGATTCTAACATCTCCAAAATATTATGTGGCGATTTTTTTAATAGGTCCAAACAACTAACTGCCATTCTTTCATTACACACCTGTTTGGCATTCCTTGTGCTGCGTATGAGGCTTGCAAGAGGTGGCTTTGGTCTGCGTTATAGGCTTGCAGAGCAAGGCTTTGTTCTTGAGAAGCCGAGGAGGCTGTGAAGGAGGCAGTTTCAAAGCGTCCGTCTGAGTACTTGCCTGATCAGAAGCCAGAAAAGGAAACTCAGTCAATTTATGCTGGGGAGCATGTATTCGTGTGACACAAAACCCAGAAAAACCCAGCAAGTCTCAGCTACCAGTCTGCTCTTCCTGCTCCCACTGCCCATGTTTTTGTTTCTGCTATACACAGAGAAAATTGTCACTCTCAGTGAAGTTATGTTTGGGAAACACACTTCCCGGGAAGCCTTTTTTGATCACAATATTCAGAAAGTTGGTGATTTCTTCCTTTCAACACCGTTAGGGCAAACTGGCCCTACTTACATCTATACACATCCATCCATCCATCCATCCATCCATCCATCCATCCATCCATCCATCCATCCATCCATCTATCTAATCTATAATAATAATAATAATAATAATAATAATAATCCTTTATTTATACCCTGCTACCATCTCCCAAAGGACTCGGTGCGGCTTACAAGAGGTCGAGCCCAAATACATCAGTAAAAACAGCAATACAGACAATACATAAACTCATAAACAAAGCAACAAACAGTAACAATAAGACCATATCTATCTATCTTCTCAACCCAAGGAAAGGCTTTCATTTGGGGACAATATCATTCTAGGTTTTGTGTGTTTCCTCCACCACAGATATCCCAGTGTTTCTTATTCTCTCCATTGGTGTGGAATTTGCATGATTCTGCCTAATGCCTCTCCCTTTCCTATTATTTTCTATGGCACACAGTGATCAGCAACTGAAGATACTAGAGGAAGTGATCAGCAACTGAAGATACTAGAGAGGTTTGGGGAGAATTCACTATGATTTATAGGAGTTGTAGGTACTGGAATGTATAGTTCACCTGCAATCTAAGAGCACTCTGAACTCCACCAACAATGGATATGGCTAACAAAAAAATTGGGAGGGATTTATAGGAATTGCAGTTCACCTACATCCAGAGAGCACTATGAATGCAATCAATCATGAATCTGGATCAGTGGTTCTCAACCTGTAGGTCCCCAGGTGTTTTGGCCCAGCCAGTTTACCAGCTGTTAGGATTTCTGGGAGTTGAAGGCTAAAAACATCTGGGGACCCCAGGATGAGAACCACTGATCTGGATCAACCTTGGCATGCATACCCGATGTGCCCAAATTTGAATACTGGTGGGTTTTGAGGGGAATTGGCCAAGACATTTTGGAGTTGTAGGTACTGGGATTTAAAGCTCACCTGCAATCAATGAGCACTCTGAACTCCACCATAGATGGAATTGGACCTAACTTGGCACACAGAGCCCTCATGACCAGCAAAAAATACTGGAGGTCTCCCAGAAAGGAAGGTCAGTTCCTCCCAAACCCCTCCAGTAATCAAATTTCAGCATATCCAGTATCTGTGCCAAGTTTGGTCCAGTGCCATTGGTGTTTGGGTTCATAGTGCTGTCTGGATATAGGTGACTCCCCCAAATCAAGGTGACCAAACTTGACACACAGAACCCCCATGACTAACTCAACCTACTGGAGGGGTTTGAGGGGACTGACTCACCATAATGAGAGTCATGATGAATTCAGAGAGCAAACTTGCCCAACGTAACATTTGAGTACTGATGGAGTTTCTCGGGGTTAACCTGGCATGATGTGAGTTGTAGTTCACCCACAACCTTATACATTTTGTACAATTATTTATTTTATTTATTTAAATAATTAGAAATTGATTTTTTCAAATAACCCGGGTAATGCCAGGACCCAAACTAGTATACAAAAAAAAACCAAAAAAACAAAAACAAGGAAAAACATGTACAGTAAACGTAAAGGTAGTAGCCATGGAGCTACTAATCTAAACTTCTCTGCTGCCTCAAATAGTCACCTGCTATGGAATTAGGATATACAGCAGGACCCCTGTATCCCTGGGTTGGATATATTTGGTTTTATTTATATCTATCTGGCAAAATATGTCCTCTCAGGACAGTTTCTAAGTCCTTCAGTGCAGCTCTATGGTATTCTTGGGTTAGAAAGTCTTCATTTCAGTAGGGCTCACTATTATCTGTGTTTTTGCATATCCATGTGAAGTCTGGAAATGTATCCTCCACAGACAGGAATTGTACTGAACATTTTTTAAAAAAAGTACTACTATCCACAATAAATTACAAGGAAATATTGAAATGTTCTACATACAGCACAGAAACACCCAAAAATTTAGAGAATGGCATTCAAAGAGATATAAACAAAATTATCATTTTATTTAGCAAAACAAAGACTTTCTAGGACAACTTACGTCTCCAATAATTTTTGCTGTCACAGTAGGAACTGCACCTGTTATTGGGGAGAAAAGTAGGAAATTTATTAGAATCATAGAGTTGGAAGAGACCACATGGGCCATCCAGTAAAACCCTATTCTGGCATTCAGGAAAAGCACCATTAAAGTTCCCTTGACAGATGGCAATCCAGTCTGTATTTAAAAGCCTCCAAATAAGGAGCTTCCACCATCCTCTGAGCAGGGAGTTCCACTGTTGAACAGCTCTGACTGTCAGTAAGTTTTGCTAATGTTCAGGTAGAATCTTCTTTCCTGTCATTTAAACCCGCTGAACCAAGTCCTACTGTCTAGGGGAGCAGGAAACAAGCATGCTCCTTCTTCCTTAGAACACAAATAAAGACCTCTATACTTCCTTCGTTGCTTCCATGCTGGACATCTTCATCATGCTTCGCTCTTACAGAGCCTCCTCTCACAACAAACTTATACTGGAGCTTCACACAGGAGCTTTTTATACACAGCAGCCTTTATACTGGAGCTTTACACATGAGGCCTTCTCATACACTAAGGCCTACCACACAGAGGCTTCTCTCACAGACTAAGGCCTATTACTATTATTTACTATTATTATTAACTTTATTTGTACCCTGCTACCATCTCCCCAAGGGACTTGGTGCGGCTTACATGAGGCCGAGCCCAAACACAACAATACAAGCAATAAAACAACAATAAAGCAATTAAAAAACATAGACAATAAGATAAACAACATTATCAATAAAACAACACACAATTAAAATCAGAGGGGAGGTCAAATGCAAAGTTAAAATTGGAAATAGGCCTACCTCACACTGTGAGGCCTCTCAGACTGAGACCTTTCTCCCACTGAGGTTTACCTCATACTGATAGCTACTAAGCTAGAGGCACATCTGTTTATATGGAACTGCAGCTTTTGCTGAGTAATTGCATCAATTTAACCCTTTCAGTGCTTGACTCAAGAGGTTTGTAATTAGAAATACCTAGTCGATTTTTAATATTTCTGACAATAACAACCTTTCAGATATTAAATATGACTATCATGTTGCTTCTCAACCTTTCTTCTGCAGGCTAAACAGACCCAGCTCTTTAAAGCCTCTCTTCAGACAGATTTATGGTTTCCAGACCTTTGGTTCTTTTAGTCTCTCTCCTCAGGCTACATTTCTCAGACCCATTATTTTCTAACAGAGGGGAGATTCACATGCATGCAGTATCTGGAAGGGACTTGAATGAAATTTATTACGATCAATGGAAAAGAGAAAGGAAGTTCCTTAATGGCTGTCCTACCTTGCAAAACATTGTTGGAATTGGCTGTGGGCTGAGCAACAGGTGCACTGGCAAGGGACACCACGTTTGCAATAACTGGAGTGGAATCCTTCCTGAGAGATGGAGGGGGTCCCGCTGAGGATGTTGGTGCCATGGAAAGATTTGCTGAGTCGAGGAAGCAAGGGGTAACGAAGTAGAACAAACATTATTGTCCACAGAGACTTGTGTTTAATGAAACCCATTCAATCACCCAATGTAGTTTCACAAAGTGCATGTACAAACACTTCCTATCCTTTCCCCCATGTACCTCCCTCAGCTCAGTGGCTCCCAATTTTTTTTGGTCATAGAACCCTTCAAAAGACTTGCTCCCCCACAGAACCTTCTCTCTGTCCCTAAGAAGTCACAAAGTTCTTCCTTCTTTCATCTACCACATTGCTTGTGTATTTTGTATAAAAGGTAAAGGTTTCTCCTGACATTAAGTCTAGTCATGTCTGACTCTGCGGGTTGGTGCTCATCTCCATTTCTAAGCCAAAGAGCCAGCGTTGTCTGTAGAGACCTCCAAGGCCATGTGGCCAGCATGACTACATGGAGTGTTGCTACCTTCCCGCAGAAGCGGTACCTATTGATCTACTCACACTTGCATGTTTTCAAACTGCTAGGTTGGTGGGATATGGGGCTAACAGCTGGAGCTCATCCCGCTCCCTGGATTCAAACCGCCAGCCTTTCAGTCAGCAAGTTCAGCAGCTCAGCGGTTTAACCCTCTGAGCCACCAGCGGGCCTGTATTTTGTATACTGTAGTAGATTTTGAAACAAAGAGCAAATATTTCAAATATAAATAAATACATATATTTTGGTACAAGAAAATACTAGCTATAACCACTTTAGTGTAGGAAAATCTGAATTCCCACCTAAAAAGATGAAAATCTTTCATTTTTGCACTTAAAATAGTTTTGAAATTGGGCTTTATGTCTGACATTTGAATACGTAAATCCAGGGCAGCGTTTAACTTACTCCTAAATTTGGTTTTGGTGTCAGCTTAAGCTAAAAAGCCCAATTTGCATTGATAGATGGACATGAATGGGAGCATTACTTGGATAGGTTTTCCAGCAACTGACGGGTACACTTCTATCAGTCCTACTCAAAAGTCATGCAGTGGCACAGATTAAATTTCATTTTAAAAGAAAATATACTGAATTTCAAAAAGATCATCATAATCTGGCATGAACTTCTTAAAAAAGAATTTAAAAGATTTTTCATGGAACCCCTACAAATGTTTTTGTGGAATCCCACGCTTCCATGGAACCAGTGCCTTAGCTTCTGCCATTTGGGTTCAACATTGGATCTATCGTAACTCGTAAGTAAGAGATTCCAGCCCACTCTGATTTAAGCTAGACATTTCCGTAGTCAGTATATGCACACCTATACATACACATGCTCACTGTATTTTGAGATTTGCATGGTCTTATTCCTCCATCAGTATCCTCTATCCACAGCAACAACCAATGCCTTGTTTACCTGTATTGTTTTGAGGAGGAGGAGGAGGGGGTGGCGGCGGAGGGGGCGGCGGGGGATCAGATGCGCACTGCTGGTTGCAAAACATCAGGATGCAGAGCAAGTTGCAAAAATGCTTAATCTCCCCTCGCCATTTCAAGGACTCGCTGAGTTTCCCCTGCCTTTTGCATCCATCACATTTGGACATCTATTTGGACAAGAGGAAAAGGAAGGAAGAGAAGAGTCAGGGTTATTATTTATTTCATGTTAAAAGCACTGCATACAATAGTTAACCTAAAATTGATAAAATAAAGAAATCAAAAGCTGCTAGATAGTTTAAGACCAAAAACGAGCATCACAGTAGATTCTTGCACTGAAAGGGGGCCAAACTACTTGGCCTTGTGGTACCTTGCTATTCTATGATGGTACATAAATAAGACACAAGAGTTCCTTTTGAGGTCCATTACTGCTTTTCAGAAGGTGGGAAACAATACAAGATAGACAGGAGCCTCTGAACGGCTTACCTGGTAAAACAAAACCGTGAACTTCGACATGCAGTCTTCGGAGCAGAATTCTTCCACCTTTCCCCCAAAATGATTCTGAACCAGCTTGGGAGACGTCTGCAAACAGTAGCTGCACATCTTACAGTGGTTCCCCCAGCGTTTAGCTAAATCGTGCTTGTACAGCAGTTTGCAGCCTGGAACAGTAAACAACAACAAACAATGGCCACCAAATAAAGCTTCCAGACTCTCTCTTATAATAATAATAATAATAATAATAATAATAATAATAATAATAATAATAATAATAATAATAAATAATAAATAATAATAATAATCTTTATTTATACTCCGCTACCATCTCCCCAAGGGACTCGGTGAGGCTTACATGAGGCTGAGCCCATAATACAACAATACAAGCAATAACAATAGACAATACAAGCAATTAAAATCAATAAACAAAAACAATAAAACCATAACATAAGCATTAACAGTAGGACAACACACTTTAAAATCTATGGGTAGGCTGAATGTAGTTAAAAATTTAAAAAATAATGCTGAACATGGGCGAAAAAGTGATGGGGCGTTTGTGGAAACATACAAGCAGAGCTAAAGCAATATAAAGTGCTTTGGAGGATAAAGTGCTATGGGATCATTATTCTGGGAAGGCACACTAGAACAACCACGTCTTCAAGCTCCTCTTAAAGCCTGCCAGAGTTGGGGCAAGCCTGATGTCCTTAGGAAATGAGTTCCAGAGTCGAGGGGCCACCACCGAAAAGGCCCTCTCGCTCGTCCCCACCAATCGTGCTTATGATACAGGTGGGAGCATGAGCAGGGCTTCTCCAGATGATCGAAGAGATCGTGTGGGTTCATATACAGAGATGCGGTCGCGCAGGTAGGCGGGTCCCAAACCGTTCAGGGCTTTGTAGGTGAGAACCTACACCTTGAATTGGGTCCAGAAAATGAATGGCAGCCAGTGGAGTTCCTTAAACAGAAGGGTTGACCGCTCCCTGTAAGGAGCCCCAGTTAACAACCTGGCTGTCGCCCATAGGACCATCTGGAATTTCCGAGCCATTTTCAAGGGTAACCCCATGTAGAGTGCATTACAGTAATCCAGTCTAGAGGTGACTAAGGCATGGACCACCCTGGCCAGATCTGCCTTCATGAGGCACAGTCGCAGTTGGATCTTAGAAGGACAAAAACAGGAGTAGATAAAATTGTGGCCCGAGGGCAGGCATGGACAAACTTTGGCCCTCCGAGTGTTTGTACTTCGACTCCCACAATTGTGGGAGTTAAAGTCCAAAACACCTGAAGGGCTGAAGTTTGTGCATGCCTGTTCTAGGGCCACAATCTGGCATTGGCTAGAGGATGTGTCTAAGGCACATACTCCAGAACCGGGACAGGCAACTTGTGACCCTTTATGTGTTGCTGGATTACTCTTCTGCCTTACCACTGAGAAGGCCCTCTCTCTCGTCCCCACCAACCACGTTTGAGACGGTAGTGGGACCGAGAGGAGGGCCTCCCCAGAAGATCTTAGAGCTCGTGCCAGTTCATAGAAGGAGATGTGATCGCGGAGATAGGCGGGGCCCAAACTGTTTAGGGCTTTATAATAGATGCAGTACAACATCTATTAATGCCTTAGTTCCCCATCCTTTCTCTACAAGAACCTCAGGAACTGCAAGTCAGATCTGGTGGAGGCATAAAGCTGTTCTTGGCATAACGAGTATTTTAAAAAATAAGGGGGGAAATGGGTTGCTGTGAATTTTCCAGGCTGTATGGCCATGTTCCAGAAGCATTCTCCTCTTACATTTCACCCACATATATGGCAGCCGTCCTCAGAGGTTTTTGAGGTCTCACAACCTCTGAGGATGCCTGCTATAGATGCAGGCGAAAAGTCAGGAAAGAATGCTTCTGGAACATGGTCATAAAGCCCAGAAAACTCACAACAACCCTTCAATAAACTGCTTGCTGATTTATACTGGACTGTGGTGGTGTTTAAGTACAGAGGTGTTCCTGCCTGGGATACAACACAGTAAATGTTTGATTTGTATACTTATTTTATATACCTTGCATCATGTAAAAATTCATAGGCAGAAAGGGGTTGCAAGTGGAAAAAGTTCAAGGAGCGCTGCTCTAGACAGTGTACAAACATGAACAAAAATACTGGTTTTGTCTCTATAAACAGACTGCATGAACAAAACACATGTAAACCAAATTGTGGCAATGTGGCACAAGTGTTCTGTTTGCAAAGAAACGGCAAGCAATAATGAACATTACTATTTCAAAAAGAAAATTTCATGACATCTTGCCATACAATGCCAGGGTTTTGTTTTGTTTTTTCGTGTCAGGAGTGACTTGAGAAACTGCAAGTCACTTCTGGTGTGAGAGAATTGACCATCTCCAAGGATGTTGGTCAGAGGATGCCAAGATGTTTTGTATCTCATTTGCTGTGTCATATTGTGTTTTTGTTTCAGTAAAATAATAATAACAACAACAACTTTGGAGGACTAAACAGGGTCTTACAAAGGGATGCTTTCCCATTACAACTCTTGTATTTGGCAATGGGAACTGATAACAACAACTTTGGAGGACTAAACAGGGTCTTACAAAGGGCTTTTAAATTTTTGTTGTGTCAGGAGCGACTTGAGAAACTACAAGTCGCTTCTGGTGTGAGAGTATTGGCCGTCTGCAAGGACGTTGCTCAGGGGATGCCCAGATGTTTTATCATAATTGTGGGAGGCTTCTCTCATGTCGCCGCATGGGGAGCTGGAACTGACAGAGAAAGCTCCTCTGTGTTCTCCCCGGATTCGAACCTCAGACCTGTCGGTCTGCTGGCACAAGGGTTTGTGGCGCAAGAGCACCGAGATTGTGGCGCAGCTGGCTGAGTGTCAGCTGCATTGAGATCACTCTGACCAAAAAGGTCATGAGTTCGAAGCCAGCCCGGGTTGGAGTGGGTTTCCAACCAATTGTATGTAGCCTGTTGTCGACCTTTGCAACCCGAAAGACAGTTGCATCTGTCAAGTAGGAAAATAAGGTACTACCTTAAAATGTGGGGAGGCTAAATTAACTGATTTATGAGGCCATAAAGAAGACTCCAGCAAAGCATTCCAGCGGGGAAGCATGCGGGGAATGAGGAAGTGCTTCATCAGCGTCGCAGATGGACGATGAAAGCGACAGCTCCCCTGGCGGCCAGAAAAAGTTAAATAGCCTCTGTGTATGTCTGTATATGTTTGTATGTCAAAAACTGGCATTGAATGTTTGCCATATATGTGTACTCTGTAATCCGCCCTGAGTCCCCTGCGGGGTGAGAAGGGCAGAATATAAAAGCTGTAAATAAAGAAATAAATTTAGCCCATTGCGCCACCAGGGCCTCCAATTCCAGGGGCAATTTAAAAATATGAAGTAGCATAAGCCAGTTCTCTCTGGAAGATCACTGACTGGTCTCTTAACCTATAGTTACTGTACCTGCCAAAATATGCCCACAAATTATTGATACCTGTTCTTTCCTGGAATTAAGTTACACTCTTTCCTGAATTGTACTAATTTTTCAGCAATACATTCCCCATTGACCCCAATCCCATAAAATCCCTTGTAACCGTGTTTCCTCCACGCATACCACCCAAGCATGTCCTTTCTTACCCTCGCTGCAGAATGACTTGTCAATGCCTGAGAACCGCACCGTCTCTTTGACAATCTTATCAATTTTGCAATATTCGCACATGGACATGACACAGTTTATCTTCTTATACTCGTCACAGCAGGTCTTGCCACAGAACTGGAACATTTTCCCCTGCAAGCAAGCAAGAAAAGTTTGGATTCCTCCAGCGCCCATCCAGAGAGTGAAAAAGCATGCCACTACAACCATCCAAAAAAAAAGCAAATCTACCTCATCGTCATTAAACATCAACAGAGTCATGTCAACAACCTAACGAAATCTGCCATTCCAACTGAGCATGAACTGCCACTTCACACAAAGACTAAATACCACAATAGCAAGTGCAAAATCCCAAACACCTGGAATATCTCAGCTTTTACTTGAAAAAAAATACATTCTGGGTCTTAGAGAAAGAAATATATGCTTTCCCCCCAGTATGCGTGCAAACCTATGCTTGCTGAAATCTCAGAAGCCAAGAGACGGAGAAGCTGGAGAAAGAGAGAGTGTCCTACTGTCCTTGCCATTCTTATTGCTAGGAAAAAAAAGGTCTTAAAAACAGCTGTAGAAGAAATCACATTTACATTGCCGTCGTCCCTCCATATCCATGGATTCGGTATCCACAGATTCCAGTGTCCATGGCCTGAAAATATTCTCCGCCCCATTCCCCCCACCTAAAAAAACCAAATCTTGATATTGCTATTTGATGAAAGGGACACCATTTTACTACTCTACTGTATATAATGGGATTTGATAATCCACATGTTTGGGAATCCATGGATTTGAGAATCCACTACCGCTAGAACCTGTCCTAGAAACTAAACTAGTAACTGTCCTGTTTCAGAAGGCATAGACAAACTTTGGCTCTCCAGGTGTTTTGAACTTCAACTCCCATAATTCCTAACAGCTGGTAGGCTGTTAGGAATTATGGGAGTTGAAGTCCAAAACACCTTGAGGGCCGAAGTTTGCCCATGTCTGTGTTTAAGCGGGTTTTCGAATTATTTTGGCTTCCTTTGGTAAAATTGTTTTCCCTCCACATTTGGGAATTTGACTTTTCTCTAAGAATCTCTAGTTTCTCCAGTGTGACTCTTTGTTCAACTTCCTCTAGTCATGCTGGAGGATCTAGGGGAGAGAGTTCTTTAGGAATCTCTAATTTTCCACTGGGATTCTATGGTCAGCTTCCCAGCAGAGGTTAAGCACAGAGTCAAGCTGAAAGATCTAAGGATTACTAGAGATACTTTCTCAGATAACAAATAGTAACTGCTGTATTTGGAATTTCTCGCTTTCATGAGAGCCCTGTGCCCCTAACCCCAGTAAATGTGAAGGGCTAACTGTATTTCGCTTTTTGAATTACCGTATATACTCGAATATAAGCAGACTTGAATATAAGCCAAGTCACTTTACTTTGCCAGAAAAAAATGGGAAAACGTATTTACTCAAGTATAAGCCAAGGCTGGGAAATGCAGTAGCTACTGGTAAATTTCAGAATAAAAATAGATGCCAATAAAATTATATTAGTCGAGGCATCAGTAGGTTAAATGTTTTCAAATATTTACATAAAACTGTAATTTAAAGTAAGACTGTCCAACTCTGATAAAACCCTTATTCTAATCTTCTTCAGTGTAAATGAGCTTATATATTCCTCCAATGATAATAAAGAGAGTAAAATAATAAATGTAATAAAATAATAATAGAGTAAAATAATAAATGTAATAGAAGAGTAAAATAAAGGTATAATAACAATAATAGAGTAAAATAATATAAATGTAATAATAACAGTATTAGTAGAGCAAAATAAATGTAATAATAACAGAGTAAAATAATAAATGTAATAAAAATATAATACAATAAATGTATAACAATAGAGTAAAATAATATAAATAATAACAGTAATAGGCAAACAAAATAATAAATATAAAAACACTAAATAGAGTAAAATAATAAATGTAACAACAACAACAGACTAAAATAATAAATAACCTTGACTCAAGTATAAGCCGAGGGGAATTTCATCAGCCAAAAAAAAAAGTTGATAAACTCAACGTATACTCGAGTATATATGGTAAGTGTAGAGCACACACTGCCTGGCCTCACACTGAGCTTTAAGGGCTTTCAGTGGCAGCACTCATACATCACTTGTCAAGGATAGCAGGACTCCAAACAACATCAACAGGCAGGCGCCAATTACCCTGTAATCGAGCAGTTCGGGTTTGGTAGCAAACAGGCGGTTACAGTGTTGACACCTGAGTTTGACAACAGTGCGAGCGAAAGTAACTTGCTGGGACTGAGCGGCCAGTCTCTGGAGGCCAGCCGCAGCTGAGCTGCTGACGGAGCTTGGGGAGACGGTTGAGGTAGTACTGCCTGCGGCTGAAACGGTGGCCCCCGAGGGAATGCTGACAATGACTTGGCCCTGCGACAAGGGCACCACAGATGCGTTCATTCCAGTGGGCTTGTTGAACAAGTTCTGCAGGAGCGCCAGAGAGAGGAGAAAATACACATAAAACTTTTGTTAAGGATAAATTCATCACGTTCTGTATCAAAGTACAGTTTCAGAAAACCTCACCAGCTTTTATCTGTCCACAGGCTACAAAATAACCCCATGGTGGAGAGCTGTATCCAGAGTGGTGTCAGTGGTTTGAGGCTCAGCAAGTTCAAAGACCAGAGTTCAAGTTCTCAGCCCTCATTTACACTGACATATAATGCAGTTTCAGAATGAAGTTTAATGGCACTGAACTGCATTAGATGAGAGTATAGACTCATCTAGAGCCCCCTGGTAGCGTAGCAGGTTAAACCACTGAGTTGCTGAACTTGCTGATCAAAAGGTTGGTAGTTCAAATCCGGAGAGCGGCGTAAGCTCCCGCTGTTAGCCCCAGCTTCTGCCAACCTAGGAGTTCGAAAACATGCAAGTGTGAGTAGATCAACAGGTCACCGCATCTACGGGAAGGTAGCAGCGTTCCATGCAGTCATGCTGGCCACCTGACCTTGGAGGTGTCTACAGACAACGCTGGCTCTTTGTCTTAGAAATGGAGATGAGCACCACCTCCGAGAGTCAGACATGACTAGACTTAACGTCAAGGGAAACATTTACTTTTACCTTTTTAATAGACTCATGTAATCTAACCCAATGCCATTAAACTGCATTAAGAAACTGCTTTATATGACAGTGTAGACGGGGCCTAATTCAGCCATTAAAACCCACCGGATGACTTTGGGCAAGTCACACAACCCCCCCCCCCCCCACCAAAAAACTGCGATTTAGGGCTGCCATAACCCAGAAATGACTTGATGGCATACAACAACAAAGAATATTCTAAGTAGATACTTTCAAGAAAAAAGCAACTTAAGACATTCATAGAAATGAAGCAGGTGAAAAAAAAGCCAATGACTATGAGGGTAGAAACATACAACCTTGTTGGATCATGTCAGGACTTGGAAAATATACTTTATTTAGATTATAATCTCCAGAGCTCTTTCACCAGTTTCCTGAAGGGCAAGTGGGTGCCTATTAGCTAGTAAACTATAGTATAGCACGTTTTTTCCTTTTTTACATCAGAAATGACAAACGGCTTTTAATACAATTTTGTCTCCACAAATCTGTCTAATCCCTGTTTGAGTCTGTCCAGCTGGTGGATCTCAAAACGCTCATACCAATTACTTATTCTTTTATGATGATGAATTGCTACCTTATATTTGTTTCAAAACAGGTGGCCAGTTCTGCAACACAGGTAGCAGATGGAAAGGACAAAAGCAACAGAGTTCAGGACTGTAATTTCCCAAAATCCCACATTAGGAGGAGGAATGTCCCAAACTAACTTTTCTAAGCGCCAAGCAATAGCCAGAAGAGATTCCATGCTCCAGCATTTTCAAGAAAAGACAACACTTTGTCAATCATGTCAACTTCGGGAGCTCTTCCAAGGCCACCTAAAGCTTATACAGCCTCTTGGGAGAGTTTTCTGATCTATAACAGTGTTTCTCAATCTGGGGGTCGGGGCCCCTGGGGAAGTCACAAGGGGATGTCAGAGCGGTCACCAAGGACCATCAAAAAACCACAGTATTTTCTGTTGGTCATGGGAGTTCTATCGTTGGTGAAGTTCAAAATGCTTTTTGATTGTAGGTGAACTATAAATTCCAGCAACTACAACTCCCAAATGTCAAGGTCTAATAAATGAAAATACATCCTGCATATCAGATACTTACATTATGATTCATAGTAGTAGAAAAATTACAGTTATTTATTTATTTCGAGCATTTATATCCCATCCGTCTCACCTCCACAAAGGGACTCAGGGCAGCTTACAACAGGCAGCCATTAGATGCCAATACAATATATTTTAAAAAATCATAATTACAATTAACACAGTTAAAAGTTATAAAAATTCAATTAAAAACAGTTTGCCAGTTTAAATCGTAATCCAGATCAATCCATTGCAGTCCACTAAAAACATTCTCTTCCCAGTTGATCTGTCTATTGTTCAAACACTTGATCCCACAGTCAGGATTTGAGTTTTTTTCAGAAAGGTCAGGAGGGAGGGAACGGATCTAATCTGATCAGGGAGGGATTTCCACAGAGAAGGCCCTGTCTTTCGTCCCTACCAGTCGCAATTACTAAGGAGGTGGAACCGAAAGCACGGCCTCCCCGGATGATCTTAACCTCCTTGGTGGTTCATAGAGGGAGATACGTTCAGACAGGTAAATGTTCTAGAATATGAGGATGGATTGTACTCCTATAATCCTGGAGGTACATTTCTTGTCACTTGTGTAACTGAAGGATCCTTGAAGGGGTTGTTGAAGTCCACAAAAGGGTTGCTGTCGAAGTCTGACATAGCGGGGGCTGGGCATGGCGAAGAAGCAATGAAAATAATTTTATGGTTGGGGGTCACCACAACATGAGGAAATGTATAAGGGGATCGGCCTTTAATTTAGAACACGGCTACTTCCCAATATCCTTTACATTGCTCTTGGTGGTCATTGCGACTGATTTTGTCATTTGGGAGTTGTAGTTGCTGGGATTTATAGTTAACCTACAATCAAAGAACATTCTGAACTACACCAACAATGGAACTGAAGCAGTCTTGGCACACAGAACCCCCATGACCAACAGAAATTACCAGAAGTGTTAGGAGGGTTTGACCTCACATTTCAGAGTTGTAGTTCACCTACATCAAGAGAGCACTGTGGAATCAAACCATGAGAGATTTAGAACAAACTTGGCACAAATATTCAATATGCCCAAATATGAACACTGATGGAGTTTGGAGGAAATAAACTTTGATGTTTGGGAGTTGTAGTTGCTGGGATTTATAGTTTACCTACAATCAAAGAGAATGATGATCCCCACCAATGTTAAAATTGAGCTAAACTTTCCACACAGAACCCCCATGCCTAGAAGGGACTTGTTGGCTTGAGCCTCCCTTCAGCCTCAGGTGTTTTCCCTCATCCGCATATGTGCACCATGCTGCCATGTGCCAAGCACACCTGCTCGCCTCTCTGTTTGGAATCTCAGAACCAGCCCTCCCCTTGGCTGAGAGGTTGACCGAGAGGACCGCCAATTACAGCAGAGGGGGGCTTTTGGTGGGAGGATTCACCTGTTTCCACAAAGGAAGAGAAGGACAGGTGGAGAGATCTTCAGCCTTCTCTGCCAAAGGGGTTCCTAAGACCATCAGAAATGTATGTTTTGTGATGGTCTTTGGTGACCCCCTCATGACCCCCCTCCCAGAGGTCCTGACCCCCAGGTTGAGAAATGCTGGTCTGAGGGAACAGAGAAAGATGATGGCTTCTTGATTCAGAGATTATTTTCTAAGAGAGGCTTGACTGGTGTTTTCCCTGCTATCCTTCTGTAGGCAGGTGACAATATTTTGATTTGGCAGATCTTTAAAAAACGAATTGCTCATAGGGAAAGAGTCTTTCAATAGTGTGCAGGATTGTGTTTTTTCCAATTTTAATGGGCATGCTTTGATCGTGTCTAATTCTATTGGGAGTTTAAATATATTTTAGACTTTTCATGACGTAAACGTTTAGCTCAGTTTCAGGCCTTGGAAAAAGTAGGGTAAATAATTAAAAACCAATCTTTTTTGCACATAATATATCTTTTTTTAAAATCAGATGAAACCTACCAATTGAGGCCCAGTAGTCAATGGTCACAAGAAAAATATGCACTTGAAGTGACACTGGAGAAGGCCCTGAGCTCAGGACAGAGAAGGAAGTTGGCTCACCTGATTATATACTTAATAATCAGACTGAAAATGAAGACGTACCTGAAAGGCTACTACGCAGCTATAACTGCAAAAGTTGCGTATGCTCCCATCGGACATAGCGAGGTGATACTGAGGGATGGCTGAGGTCTTACAGCTGTTACATTGGACCTGGACACCTGACAGAACAGCAAAGCATAACAAAAGGGGACTTAATGGATTTTTAACCCTTTGCTTTTTGGAACAAACCAAGGCAAGGGCAAACTGAAGAGTTACCTGAAGACGTGACCATTTTAACTCTGTGGGCCGACAGGCAGTTCACGGAACAGAACAGCTCCGTTTTTCCCAAATTATTTGTGTTTTCAATCATCTCAGCCGATGAGCGCAGAGTTTTACACAATGCACATGGAGTGATTTTGGCTGACTTCTGCAGGGGAGAAAAAGGAATAAACAAGGGATTTCCCTGCCAGGCGGGGACAGAAATGGTGCGCTTGAACTGCAAAAAGGCCGTCTAAACAAGTAAAAATATAACATTGCAAGAGCAGAAAAAGAAAGAATGAACAGAACTTGGAACACTGGCTCGACATAATTTTAGATGAGCAAAAGATTTGGAAAAAAGATAAATCTGTGCAAGTTTTTTTATGCCAACAGAAAGGTTTCCCCACATGACCACCTTTTTCTCATTAACTTTTTGGAGATGCATTTAAAAAAAATATTTGCTTGAAGAGACACAAGAATTTCACTAACTGGCTTGATAGACATTTTTCTGGAATTGTTATTGCTGTGCCATGCAGTGTTTGGTTGCTGAAATATTATAATAGTGATACAATATAATAATTTTACAAGAAGTAAAAGAAAAGGCCCTATGTGAAGCTTTCCATAATATTGGTTATAGCAAGAACGGCCCCAGTTAAAGAACAAGGCCCCATCTACACAGCCATACAAAATCCAGATTATCTGCTTTGAACTGGATTATATTGGTCTACACAGCTATAGAATCCAGTTCAAAGCAGATAATCTGAATTTTATATGTCCACAGAATGGCACTGGGGCTGGAACTATACAACTCATGGAGACACTATCTCTTAGTGATTTAGCAGACTTGGGCTCTACTCCACAATTCCTGTTTACCTGGTGAGTTTCTCCACAACCACGCACCCTTAAGGTAGAGTCCTTATATATCATTAAAGAGGTACTGCTGAGGTTTTCCATTTCACTCCTGTGTGACTCTCATGCGCATACTCACAAACTGAGTAATTTAAAACATATAAGAAGGAAAATATCTCAAAGAAAAACCAGACCTGCTTGTACGCCGTGACGCATGTTGAGCTGCAGAACTTCTTGGACTGCCCCTCAATCTGAAGCATGTGGCACTGGCCTGAGGCACTGTAGCAGTAGCCCCCACAGTTTTCGCAGCAGTTCATGGTGAGGTTGTTTGCTGAACGGAACTTGGAAAAGCAAGCATCACTGCAGAGCTTGTGCACGACGTTCTGGTAATTCACTTCATGCCGAATCTGGAAAAAGGGAGGAAAAAAAGGGTATAAATTAAGCCGTCAACAAGTCGTATGGAAAACTTTTCTTTTCAAGAACATTTTACAATATGGTTTCCTCTATGTCAAACGCCCACAGATGTAAAGGGAGATCAATAGCCTAGTTCAAAAATACAACTAAGGATGCATCTACACCAGTGGTGTCAAACTTGTGGCCCTCCAGGTGTTTTGGACTTCAGCTCCCAGAATTCCTGGCTACTGGACAAGTTGGCTAGAGCTTCAAGGGGTTGGAGGCCCAAACATCTGGAGGCCCACAAGTTTCACACCTACACTGTTGAATTATGTATCATATATACTTGAGTATTTCAGCCCCTTCAGTTATTTATTATTTTACTCTGTCATTATTATTATTTTATTGCATTTATTATTTTACTCTATTATTATTATGAAGGAGGATCCAGTGGTGCGGCAGGTTAAATCGTTGAGATGCTGAGCTTGCTGACTGAAAGGTAGGCGGTTTGAATCTTGGGAGCGGGGTGAGCTCCCGCTATTAGTCCCAGCTTATGCCAACCTAACAGTTTGAAAACATGAAAAGATGAATAGATCAATAGGTACCGCTCTGGCAGGAAGGTAACGGCACTCTATGTAGTCATGCCGGCCACATGACCTTGGAGGAGTGTACGGATTGAGATGAACACCATCCCCCAGAGTCGGACACGACTAGACTTAACATCAAGGGGAAACCTTTAGCTTTATTATTATTATTACATTTATTATTTTTCTATATTTATTATTGTTATTATTACATTTATTATTTTACTCTATTATTATTACGCTTATTATTGTACTCTATTTATTATAACATTTTCCTCACTACCTCTGAGGATGCTTGCCATAGATGCAGGCGAAACGACAGGAGAAAATGCCTCTAGAACATGGCCATATAGCCCGGAAAAACTTACAACAACCCAGTGATTCCAGCCATGAAAGCCTTTGACAATACATTTTTCGTTTTACTTTATTATTGTTATTATTACATTTTTTACTCTATTATGATTATTACATTTATTATTTTACTCTATTATTATTACATACTTTTCAAACAGCCAAATACCTAAAGACAGAAATGCCTAAACACCTAAGGAGGGTGTTTTTATTCTATTAGGATACGTAAGCACATTTACATTGAAGGTTAGAATAATGGTTTAATCAGTTAGACAGTCTTATCTCAAATTACAGTTTTATGCAAATATTCAAAAACATTTAAGCTACTGATGCCTCAATTAATGTAATTTTATTGGTATCTATTTTATTTTGAAATCTACCAGTAGCTGCTGCGTTTCCCACCCTCGGATTATACTCGAATCAGTATGTTTTCTCAGTTTTTTGTGATCTTATAATTGGGCCGACTTATACTTGAGTATATACAGTAGTTTGACATTACTTTAACTCAGGAACCAGCGCTCTTTGGCAGACCATTGTATACGTGATCTAACCGTTCTCTTTTTTGCCACTTCCCTTAGCACTTGTGAATGTACAATGTGTTGCACATCAAAAACCAACTTATAAAGCTAGTTAAGCCTGGTTAACTTGACTCGGGTAATGTATGGTTGAATGGATATTGATCCCAGCAACCTTGCCTATCCCGCGTTCGGAACAAAGAAGAGGGCACAAGTTCAGTTACCACTGCATTCTTCTGGCACATGCTGCACTTGGTGGAAATACTGTTTGTGTGAATGGTGACAACAGGCTTCTTTTTCAGCTCATGCATGGAAAGACACGCCTGGCTACAGAAGTCTTTGCTGGAATTTGTGTTGTCAAACTGAGCAGTGATCACATCCTTTGGATTCAGGATGTCCCTGTGGAAAAAGAGAGAAAGACAGAGCTATCAGTTTGGGAAGTATCTATCACATGACAATCAAGTTCATTGCAGTTTCAAAGACCACTCAAGTTTGAAGAGGGAAAAACTGGTGCTGAGAAAACAGCGGTACCAAATCAGGTGCTGAATTAGAATTTGGTGTAAGCCCACTTTAACAGCACAAGAAAAATGAAGAAAACAAGAAGGAAAAGCTAAGTTACCGGGTACCTCCCCAGGTTTCACAGTAGCTCTCTCATACTGTTTCCCATCCTATATACTCCTAGACCACGTTTTGTCAAACTCAAGGTCCATGGGCCAAATCCATTCTGCCATGTCATTTTATGTGGCTCTCCAGAGCCTGTAGTTCAACTCCTGTATTCCTCAACATTATGCATCATGACTAGAGCTGATGGGAGTTATGATAGTGGCATCTAGAAGGCTGCAAGTTGTTCTGTTTAGTCATGAGAGTGGGATTTGGATTTATTGCAGTGTTTCTCAACCTTCCTAATGCCGCGACCCCTTAATACAGTTCCTCATGTTGTGGTGACCCACAACCATAACTTCTACATGGAACACTTTGAAGAACAAGCCCTGGAGACAGCAACAAAAAAGCCCACGATATGGTTCAGATATGTGGATGACACCTTCACCATTTGGAGCCATGGAGAAGAAGAACTCAACAGGTTCCTGGACCATCTTAACAGCATCCACCCAAACATCCAGTTCACCATGGAAAAAGAAAATGAAGGAAGACTGCCTTTTCTAGATGTCCTAGTCATCCGCAAACCAGATCAACAATTGGGTCACACCGTCTACAGAAAACCCACACACACAGATAGATATCTACATAAAAACTCCAACCATCACCCAAGTCAAAAAAGAAGCACCATTAAAGCCTTAGCAGACCGTGCAAAAAGAATCTGCGAAGCCCACCTCCTCCAAGATGAACTGAACCACCTCAACTGGGCTCTCCAGGCCAATGGATACTCCACCTCAGACATCAGAAGAGCTGCAAGACCAAGAAGAAGCCACGAGAGTCAAGATGAAGATACACCCAGATGAAGATGCCATACATCAAGGGAACCACTGACCGCATAGGGAAGCTGATGAGGAAACACAACATACAAACAATCTACAAACCCACCAAGAAAATCCAACAAATGCTACGTTCAGCAAAGGACAAGAGGGATCCTCTCACCTCTGCAGGAGTCTACCGTATACCATGCAGCTGTGGACAAGTCTATATAGGGACCACCAAACGCAGCGCCCAGACACGCATCAAGGAACATGAAAGGCACTGCAGACTACTTCAACCAGAGAAGTCAGCCATAGCAGAGCACCTGATGAACCAGCCTGGACACAGCATATTATTTGAGAACACAGAAATGCTGGACCACACCAACAACCACCATGTCAGACTACACAGAGAAGCCATTGAAATCCACAAGCATGTGGACAATTTCAACAGAAAGGAAGAGACCATGAAAATGAACAAAATCTGGCTACCAGTATTAAAAAACTCTAAAATTATAACAGCAAAACAACAGAGAGGAAACAACCAGGCACAGATTAACACCTCCCAGCAAGAGATTTTCCCAGGCTCAGGCAGGCCTTCAAATGCTAATGAAGGTGATCAGCTAAACATTCACACCTAACTGCAGCAGAGAAGAGCTCCTTGCCCCACCCCAGCCATTCCACAGATATATAAACCCATTGTCATAATTCCAACAGACCTCACTACCTCTGAGGATGCTTGCCATAGATGCAGGCGAAACGTCAGGAGAAATGCCTCTAGAACATGGCCCTATAGCCCGAAAAAAACCCACAAGAACCTAATTTTGCTACTGTTATGAATCATAATGTAAATATCTGATATACAGGATGTATTTTCATTCACAGGACCAACTTTGGCACTAATACCTGATATGCCCAAATTTGAATACTGGTGGGGTTGAGGTGGGATTGATTTTATAAGTTGGAAGTTGTAGTTGCTGGGGTTGATAGTTAATCTACAATCAAAGAGCATTCTGAACTCCACCAATGATGGAATTGAACCAAACTTGGCACATATAACTCTCATGACCAAAATAAAATGCTGGAAGGGTTTGATGGGCATTGACCTTGAGTTTTGGAGTTGTAGTTCACTGACAACCAGGGAGGAGGAGGACTTTTGGTGGGAGATTTTGCAGTCTGTTTCCAAAAAGGAAGCGAAGGACAGACAGAGAGATCTTAGCCTTCTCTGCCAAAGGGATTCCTAAGCAGTCTTTAGGAGGAGCCTGAAAATGTGACTGTTCCAGTGTGCCTTCCCTGAATAAAGGAAACAATCCCCTGCAAATACTCTGAGAAGCACTTTAATTACCCGTTGGGTTGGTCTTTACTTTTGATTTAAAACCCTCCAAAATAGATACATCCTCTGTTCATGTCGAGCATTTATTTTTAAAAGTTTTAACTATTACATTTGGCCCAGCCGTAGGATTTAAATTCTTGTTATTGTCTACTTGTGAGTTATATTAATTGTATTGTTTATTTTGTTTATTGCTTGTTATTTTTTATTGCTTGTTGTTTTTGATGTGTTGTTGGGCCTCATGTAAGCCACTCCGAGTCCCTTGGGGAGATGGTGGCGGGGTATAAATAAAGTTTTTATTATTATTATTTTATTAAGACCATCGGAAATATGTTTTCTGATTGTCTTTGGCAACCCCTCTGAAACCCTCCTTGCGACCCCCCCCCCAAGGAACTTGACCCCCAGGTTGAGAAACACTGATTTAAATACAAAGCTTGTGGATATGAAGTCTGGCTTTAAAACATCCTTTAACCCTTTCCCAACCTCAGAGCCACAAGTGCCGTTGGACGGCAATTTCCAGTATACCCATAATAAAAAATGATGGGAGTTGTCATTCTGTAACACCTGTGGACCCAAACTGGGTAAAACTAAAGAGCACTGACCACTATGTTAAAAAAAATGATAATTGGCCCTCTGTATCCATAGGTTCGTCAATATTCAATGGCCATTTGAAGACAACCATCAGGCTGATGTGGCCCTCAACAAAAATGAGTTTGACACTCCTACCATAGTTCAATGTAGATCAGGCCACATTTACAGGGATTTAATTCCCACTGATTTCAAATGCTCTGATACAATTCCAAGCCACCACCATCCTTACTTGGAGCAGCTGAAACAGGTTTTCTTGGTCGAAGCTGGTGGCCGGGCGGCTGGTACAGTATATCCCGTGAGGCACAGTGTGGAGCAAAAGAGTTGAGTGGAGCCTTTCCTCTGATAAGCCGTTTGCCCCTTCTGCAAGATCTTCTTACAGCCAGAGCAGGAAACCCGGATGGCTGCACTTGGGACTGCAGGAAGCAGTTTGTTCACTCCAGAAGAGGGTGTGCTGGGTGGAAAACCTGATGTCAACTGTGGAGCTTACCAAAAAAGAAAAGAAACTGTTGGAAACAGCAACCTCCCAAGCCTTTCATTGTTTATTTATTAACATATATATTTGCTAACCTGTATTCTATGTGTATGTTGATTTGCCAGTTTGCCTTACTTCTTTGGTGTGGGAAGGGCTATAGACATGTGATTGTACTGAGCATATGCAGACTCAGGACTCCATGTTGTATTCAGTGTTTCATCAGTGGAGGTGGATGTATGTATGTGTTTGGTCCTCAATGAAAGCAGTGGCTGTTTAGAGACTTCAACAGAGAAATATGACTTAAGGACTTCAGTGTGTACAACTATACCGAAAGTCTATGAACTATTGATAAAGAATGATATCCTGAGTACTCAACACAGAGAACTTTAATAAGAAACGTGCCTGTTTGGTGAATTAATACACCATGTTTATAAGTAAACAAGACATGTTATTATTTTCAAAGAATACTTTGTTTTTTTAAAATCTCTGAGTGCATATTTTAAACTAAGAGGTTTCAAGGGACTGCGTATTTTTTGGGCAACTGCAAGTACAACTTCAAAGAAACAACCATCCTCTGCTAACCAAATATATTTTTGTAGTGGCATGTCTTTATCCTTGGCAATTTAAAGACATGGTTCTTCAGTTTAACAGCTGAGTTACTTGTGTGCCATTACATTAATGCTTATGAATATCACTTGTTCAAAGGTCATGCTTTTCTTGACTAGTGGTTTTCAAAAGGTGGTCTCCACATGTTAATGGAGATTCACATTTGCCAAATGCATGTGACATCATTTTTACCTTTCCAATAGGTTATGGAATTTGCAATAGAAACAGGCTGTTATGACTAGATCATCATTACAAGTCTACCATCTAAGTGCCTGACTAAATAGCATCCTCAGATGGGACACTATTTCTGAGGGGCTCCACCCTTTTGTCGGTTATCAGCATTATTACATTAACCCCCGGTGGCACAGTGGGTTAAACCCCTGTGCTGGCAAGACTGAAGACCGACAGGTCGCAGGTTCGAATCCGGGGGGAGGCGGATGAGCTCCCTCTATCAGCTCCAGCCCCTCATACAGGGACATGAGAGAAGCTTCCCACAAGGATGATAAAAACATCAAATCATCCGGGCATCCCCAGGGCAACGTCCTTGCAGACGGCCAATTCTCTCACACCAGAAGCGACTTGCAGTTTCTCAAGTCGCTCCTGACATGACCAAAAAAAAAAAAAAAGCATTATTACAAAGTCCAAGCAAAAAGAAATCTTGGTATCTTGGTTTTTAGGCCTATTCCTGGGGTTATTTGTGGTGCTGATTCAAAAAACTGAATTGGATAGACCACATCAGCACTAATTTCCTAAGTTTTATAAATAAATATTTATTTATTTGCGATATTTCTATCCCGCCTTTCTCGAACCCGAAGGTAAATCAAGGCGGCTTACAACCCGGCAGCCATTCGATGCTGTAATATACAATATAAAATTTAAACATTTAAACAGATTTATCAAATCATGCAATAAAACTATTTAAAGACATATAAAAACCAGTATCTTCACTGTTCATCACCTTGTCCAAAAAACATTGTCTGAGCCATTCCATAATTCAGTTCCATATGAATCTGTATTTAACTATTGCACTGCATTCTCAAAGGCTTGTTCAAAAAGCTAGGCTTTTACTTTCCTCCAGAAGGTCGGGAGGGAGGGGGCCGATCTAATATGGTCATCATTATATTATATGGCAACTGATAGATGGAATATGATCTGCATCTCAAAAACTAGAACTGATAGGAGAAAAGGGTGCCATTTTTGGAATCAGCATGTCAACTATACCCAGAAAGAGGTCTAATGTTTGAGGCACCAAAATGTGTGTTGGCCAGCGATATATTTTTCAGTGCCAAATAAAAGTCTTTTCCAATGATCATGAATTTTATCTATACTATATCTGTAGAAGTAACATTTCTGCCTGGATGCCGTTACCTGAAGCAATGGATACAACCAAATGTCATTAAATTGTCTAACTTCCAGTCCCAGAATACCATAGAGTTGTGTTGGAAGAACTTAAAAAGCATCCTCTAGAAATTTGCTAGATCCTGAAAGGCACATCTATGGCAACTTCAAGGGAAGTATCCCACGGAATCACCCGGAAGACCTAGCAAATGCTTAGAAAGACCATTTCTCCCTGGACATGAGGGAAGGGGTGGTCTTATTGCATTTTCTTTCAATTTCACTTTCAGTATTTTGTTTTGTTTTTGTGAACCATCCTGGAAGCAGTGCTCAAAGGTGGCACAGATGTCTCCAAATTACGTAAAACAAGGCAAAGGCATGGACTCCTCTCAGCCTAAGCAGTCCCTCTGCTCTGCGTTCCCTTCCCAAGTCCGGCTCCTTACCAAGAGGGCTGCCGCTGACGGAAAACACAGCACTGATCTTTAGTTCCCCTTCCTGAGTTTTTGGCTGCTGGCCATATTCCTGAAATAAACAATCACACATGAAATCAGCTCTCTCCAACTCATCTTGAAACCTAGACCTTATTTGGGAGACCCACTCCCTTACTCTAATGCAATTATGGGACAGAGCCTTGTGTCCAGTAATGGAAGCCATGACTTGCTCCCTATCTTATGCATAAAAAAGCTGAGTAAGAATTGTGCTTTTTAAAGACCACATGATCCTTTCAGGGTGCAATTCTATCCTTTAGACCAGGGGTCCTCAAACTTTTTAAACAGAGGGCCAGGTCACAACTCCTCAAACTGTTGGAGGGCCGGATTACACAGTAATTTGAAAAAAAAAACATGAATGAATTCCTATGCACACTGCACATATCTTATTTGTAGTGCAAAAAACCACTTCAAAAAATACAATAATTAAAATGAAGAACAATTTTAACAAATATAAACTTATTAGTATTTCAATGGGAAGTGTCGGCCTGCTTTTGAGATAGGATTGTTGTTGTCATTGGGTGCTTTCAAGTCATTTCAGACTTAGGTTGACCCTGAGCGAGGGCCGGGTAAATGACCTTGGAAGGCCGCATCTGACCCCCAGGCCTTAGTTTGAGGACCCCTGGTTTAGACCACTGCTTCTTGAACTGTGTGTCTCAATCGCAATTGGGGTGCCCTTAGTTCAATGTTAGGATCACCAAAAATTTGGCGACAGTAAAAACTTTCTGAACACCACCAATTTACACAAATCTGTTAGCAACAACATGCAGAGTTTAAAGTGGACTCTGCAGAAAATTCTCGACCTGTACTCCACAAAAAGGAAAATCTCCTCGTTTAAACAAGCCTTGCAAATGCTGATTTACCATCAGGAAGAGTTTGGTGTTTATATCTATTTTCAATACCTATATACCTCGGGTCACAAAAGAAAAATCTCAGATGGAAAGGGATTTTGAGTGATAAAAGTTTAATACTAATAATAATAATCGGGTTGCTGTGAGTTTTCCAAGCTATTTGACCATGTTCCAGAAGCATTCTGTCCTGACATTTCGCCCACATCTATGGCAAACATCCTCAGAAGTTTTGAGGTTTGTTAGAAACAAGGAAAGTGGGGTTTAGATATCTGTAGAATGTCTAGGATGAGAGAAAGAACTCTTGTCTGTGAATACTGCAATTGATCACCTTGATTAGCATTGAATAGCCTTGCAGTTTCAAGGCTTGGATGCTTCCTGCTTGGGAGAATCCTTTGTTGGAAGATGTTAGCTGGCCCAGATTGTTTCTTGTCTGGAATTCCCCTGTTTTCAGAGTGTTGTTCTTTCTTTACTGTCCCAATTTTAGAGCTTTTTTTAATACCAGTAGCCCGATTTTATTCATTTTCATGGTTTCTTCCTTTTTTAAAAAAATTGTCCACATGCATGTGGATTTCAATGGCTTCTCTGTGTAGTCTGGCATGGTAGTTGTTAGATCTTTCCAGCATTTCTGTGTTCTCAAATAATATGCTGTGTCCAGGTTGGTTCATCAGGTGCTCTGCTATGGTTGACTTCTCTGGTTGAATGAGTCTACAGTGCCTTTCGTGTTCCTTGATTCGTGTTTGGGCAATGCTGCATTTGGTGATCCCTATGTAGACTTGTGCACAGCTGCACAATATACAGTAGACTCCTGCAGAGATGAGAGGATCCCTCTTGTCTTTTGCTGAACGTAGCATTTGTTGGAGAGAATGCTTCCGGAACATGGGCATACAGCCAGGAAAACTCATAGCAACCCATGAAAGCTTACAACACAACAACAACAAAAATATATTCATTTCTTACACACCTCTCTACATGGCTTGAGGTGGGTTACGGAACAATTAAAACACATAAACATTGCAAAAATGCCACAAAAATACACACATATTAAAATGTATTTCTATAAAAGATACATATTAAAATATATTTCTATAAAATATGTATCAACATACACAAAACAGATATTAAACAAAGGGCACACTTTTAAAATTCATGAAGCCCTGCTTTCAACCGCACTAATTTCCAAGCCCCATGTACACAAAAATTCAATAAAAAACACACTTTTCAGATGAAAAGTGCTTGAAATTTTCTACAAAGCTTTCTTACTAGGCTATTTTTTGACCAGAGCTAAACAGAAATAGCAAAAACCAAAAGCCTGTCCCAGAAGAGCCCTAAAGGTGATAGAAATGGCCCAATGACATTTCCAAGCCCTCAAAATGTATTTATTTATTTATTTAGAACTTTTATATACCGGTCTTCTCACCTCCGACGAGGGACTCAGGCCGGTTTACAACAGTTCATACACAATAGTTAAAAAAAATCACATCCTATAAAACTCTAATATAAAACACATTAAAACACAATCATATAATTACATAAGGCCAAGTCATCCGAATAAAATCACAATCCATCCACCATCCGTCCATGTGATCAAGGGTTATTGACTCACTCATCAAATGCCAGGTTCCAGAGCCAGGTTTTCACCAACTTTCTAAAAGTCAGGAGGGAAGGGGCAGTTCTAATCTCCAATGGGAGAGAGTTCCAGAGCCGAGGGGCCACCACCAAGAAGGCCCTGTCCCTCGTCCCCACCAGACGCGATTGCGAGGGTGGTGGGACCAAGAGCAGGGCCCCTCCAGAAGATCTTAGCAACCTTGATAGTTCATAGGGGAGAATCCGTTCGGACAGGTAAATTGGGTACCAGGGACTTCGCAGTGCTGCCCACCACAGTTCTAGAGGATGCTGAAATGGCGCTGTGAGGCCTTGTTGGCTCCATACCGTGCTCATCTATGCAATACAGCGTCTGCTATCCTTATACAAGGATACCAATAAAGAGTCTCTAGTTTATGTCCATCTTACCTCAGTATTATCTGGTTCATCCTTAACTTTATTCGCCAGCCCCGGCTGAGGTGCCATAGCTTTATCGTAATCGTTATCCAAAGGCTCTTCCTTAATTCTAATACTTGATGCATAGGAATTCCCAAGCTCTTGCCCAACAGATTCCTTGTTAGAAAACAGATAGTTGGACTCCTACCATAAAGGAATTGCAAGACAGCAATTAATTAGCATACATAATTTCTCCAAATATGCCAGAATTTTGCTCCCGACTTCTCAATAATTTCTTCAAAGTTTCGGAATTACACCTCATTTCTGCCCATACATAAAATCCAAATGCAGATCTTTAGATTTCTCCGCCTTTAATAATTGGAATGTTGAAATCTTTTTTAATGTTTATATTGTGTGTCAGAAATATTAAAAATTAAATGGGTATTTTTGATCACAAAAGTGTGAGTCAAGCATTGAAAGAGTTAGTAGGCCGAAGCCTGTTAGAATTAGTAGGACAAAGCTAGCGTTAGTGTTTGTTTTGCCTCAGTGAGGGAACTCCTCAGTCTGTGTGTTTTGTTCTTTTTATCACTTTGGTCTACTGGTGCTGGATCACACTGCTGCTGCTGCTAAGTTACTCTGCTATACATTCATGGGGAGGGTCTTTTGTTAATTAGCCCACTCACCCAACAAAGGTTATGGGCCCAGCACACTTCCGCTGCATGTAAAGCTACTATGCATTCATTTGTGTTGTGGAAACCTTGTTATTGCAAACAGTGCAACTATTTATTTATTTACGACATTTATAAGCCGCCCTTCTCACCCCGAAGGGGACTCAGAGCGGCTTACAAGATATATATACATATAATATATTATATTACTAGCCGTCCCCTGCCACACATTGCTGTGGCCCACATACTATCGTTGGTGAGGTTCAGAATGGTCTGTGATTGTAGGTGAACTATAAATGCCAGGAACTACAAATATCAGTATTATATATTACTATATTCTACTATACCATTATATTGTAATATCATTAGTAATATTACATGTTATATAAAATATATAATTATAATATCTTATTAATATTGGTAGTAGTATTATATTGTATTACATTATTATTATAAATATTATATGTATATATTATATTATATTATATTATATTATATTATATTATATTATATTATATTATTAGCATAGTACAGGAGACAAGAGGGTACTGTCCCCTGGCCCCCTCTCTCTTCACTCTGGCCCAGAGCGGCAATTGGTGCTGGAGGGAGGGGTCCCCAATTGATGACATATGCAGGAGACAAGATGGAACTGTCCCCTGGCCCCCTCTCTCTTCACTCTGGCCCAGAGAGGCAGTTGGTGCTGGGGGGGAGGGGTCCCCAACTGATGACATATGCAGGAGACAAGATGGAACTGTCCCCTGGCCCCCTCTCTCTTCACCCTGGGCCAGAGCAGCAGTAAAATAAACTATATTATTTTACTACAAAGAAAAGCCTTCTATGAAAGAGAAAACATTGGTCTGTGTATTTTTCTTCTTTTTATCACTTTTGGCTACTGGTGCTGGGTCACACTACTGCTAATAAGTTACTCTGCTGTACATTTATGAGGTCTTTTGTTATTAAGCCCACACACCCAACAAAGGTTATGAGCCCAGTATAACCCAGTACAGACCAGTAGGGACCATATTGAGGCTGAAGAAATATGGCAATGGCATTTAAAGCAAGTGGACTGCTTTTTGAAAGGTTGAATGCCAGTATCTATGCCACATTGTCATTTAATTTTTTTTGTTAAGAGACAATTTGTGGGAAGTAGTGTAGAATCCCCCAGATAAAGAAGGAGAAGATGATGACAAATTGAGGGCAGATCAGAGTTTTTAAATTGTATATTCTTTAACCCTAACCCTAACCCTTTTCCTGGAGAAAGAACTGGACTACAAAGGCTCTCTGCTTGCTTGCCTGCCTGCCTTCCCTCCCTCCTACTTTTTCCCCTTTCCTTTTTCTCATTTCCACACTTTTTCTTTCTTCCCCCACCTTCCCTTTCCTTTCTTCCTCCCTTCCCTTCATTCACATGTGTTCTAGCAAAGAAGGGAGGGGAAGCAGGAGGGACAAAGGAGCAAGGAGTGAGATAAAAGTAGGAAAGGAAGAGAAAGGAAAGGTATGAGGGGAGGGGAGGGAAGAAAGAGTAAGAAATGGAAGGGCCGAAGACAGGGAGGGAAAAAAGAAAGAAAAAGAAGGCAAAGAGGTGAAGTTCAGCTTTCCCTACTTTTATACCTTCTGGCTCTGTGAATTTCTCTCTTGTCTTCCTAGGGTTTATTTTAACCTTTCCTTCATTTGCTTAGAGAACTCTGTCTTCTAACTTCCCAATCCTGATGTACCTTCACTCTCATAGCCTGAACTACAGACTCCAGAAACATCTAGTACCAGAGAGCTGTAATTCAGGCTTATCGTATATACTCGAACATAAGCCTACCCAAATATAAGGTGAGACATCTAATTTTACCACAAAAACCTGGGAAAACTTATTGACTCGAGTATAAGCTCAGGGTGAGAAATGCAGCACCTACTGGTAAATTTCAAAAATAAACCATTATTCTAACCTTCTTCAATGTAAATATGCGTACATACCCTTCCAATAATAATAAAGTAAAATAATAAATGTCACAAAAAATAATAGAGAAAAATAATAATGTAAAAATAGTAACAGACTAAATTAATAAATGTAATAAAAATAATAACAGAGTAAAATAATGTAAATGCAATAATAATAGAGTAAAATAATAAATATAATAAAATAATAACAATAAATAGAGTAAAATAATAAATGTAGTAAAAATAATAATAATAGTGCATGATAATAAATAACCTTGACCTGAGTATAAGCCAAGGGGGGCTTTTTCAGCCTTAAAAATGGTCTGAAAAACTCAGCTTATACTCGAGTATATATTTTCCCCATATTCTCATCATCCTGATTACATTACCTGTTTTGGCTAGCTGCTTCTTCACTCTCATCTAGGGCCTTTCCCTGATTCTAGGAGGCTCAAGAAAAGTCTCCTAGGCTTGCATCTATATCTCTCACCTTTCAGGTGTTTGAATAGTTGAACACATCACTGCACTACTAGAGTGTCACTACAAAATCTGTACAGTAATTCTACACAAAAAGCAACCTGAGCATGGTATCATACAAAACATCCACAGTCAGACGCACACGATACATGCTTACCCTGAAGTTGATTTCCGGGGTTTGTGGTCCTAATTGGGTACGTAATGTTTCTTCTACTTGATTAGTAACTGAGGAAAACAAAACATTCAGTTAGGAAAAAAATGGGAGAGGTTCCCTGTGTTTACTGTACAAATTGCTGTCACGTTTATCCAGAGCAAGCACAATGAAAGAAAGAATTCTCCATTTAGTTTAGCAACAGGTGTATAAACTTATTGTTGAAATAAGGGAAGTTAATACAGCCATGTCTCAAAGTTTGTGACTTTGAACTATTTGGCGGTGGATAGGAACAGGTATATCAAAATGAAGCACCTGCTAATTGCAGTGGAATATGAGAGATACTATGAAAAGGAAAACATTATTATTTATTTATTTACTATTTTTAAAATCCGCTCTCTCTCACCCCGAAGGGTACTCAGAGCGACTTACAAGTTACATGTACATACATTATATTACTAGCATAGCACAACATTAGTATTATATATTACCATATTGTACTATACTACTATATTACAATATTATTAGATATATTACATGTAACATATAATATATAACTATTATATATTATTAGCATTATATTGTAATACAGTATATGATCAATATTATATGTATAAACAATATTATTATTAAGATTGCATAATATTAGTATTATATATTACTATATTGTGCTATACCACTATACTGCAGTGTTAGTAATATTACATGTCATAGATAATGAATAATTATTATATTGAATTATTAGTCGTATTATATTGTATTACAATATTGTGATCAATATTATATGTACATACAATATCTTTTTAGCATAGCAAAATATTAGTATTATATATTATTGGCATTTCGGAGGAAAGTGAAGACCTGGCTGTTCGAACAAGCATTTGATTAAACAGTGCAATTGAACATAGGAATACGGAATAATGGATGACGAGACTGGATTCTGATTTTACTGTTAAGGCGCTAATGATTGTTATACTGATGTTAATGATTTATGTGATAATTGTTTTTAATTGCCCTATACTTGTTTTGTGATATTTTGTACTGATGTTGTTCACCGCTTTGAGTCGCCTGAGGGCTGAGAAAAGCGGTATAGAAATAAAGTAAATAAATAAAATAAATAATACTATACTACTATACTGCAATATGATTTGTAATATTACATGTAATAAATAATATTCAATTAATATACTGCATTAGTAGTAGTATTATATTGTATTAGATATACAATATATACTCTGGTTTCTCTTCACATCATAAAAGAAGAAAGATGATGGATCTAATCCATGCATATACTTTCCTATTACTTATGTTCTGTATAAAGTTTTCTAAAATAAATGGTAACATATCAAGACAATATTAAACATTTTGGATTTGCTTTTCTCAATCTGAACAAACATGATGTCACCTGATTTATCCAGGAAATTACTTTTCAATCTGGAATCCAACTCTTTTGGCATTTTTTCCAAACGTTTGTCACGGTCTTGAAAAGGTCCTTCTCGAGCTTTCTCCTTTGCCAAAAAACTCTCTTTTCCATCATCTCTTGCTATGCTAAAATCTTTGCGAATGGTTTTAAATACAGAGGGTCCTTTGTCGAAAGGTGAGGAGAGGTCCTTTTGGATCACGTTTTGCATCTGCATGTCCTTCTCGTTGTCCACTGCATGATCCCGAACCCTCCGCACATCTCCCCGGCTGTCCTCAGAGCAAAGGGTAGAAGGGAGGCTCTCTTTTGTAGCAAAGGTTTGCTCATCTTCATTATCACTCTCAATGACAGGAATTCCTGTGAGATCCCCAGAGTTCAGGAAGTAGTCATTGTCATCCAGCAAAGAATTTGTAGAACCTGTTCTGTTTTGCATTCTGTAGGGTATGCTGTCAAAGGCAGGGGTTAGGTTGTGGACTGTTTTCTCAGACATCGTGGTATGTACAAGGCCTCCACCTGCAGAAAAAAACAATCAGGAGGCAGACATAAGGCCCAGTACACTCCAAATTCAGTGAATATCAGCCCTGAACAGGACTTCCTTTAAGTTGAAGGAATCCGAGCTGAACACTACACGATTCATAATGTTCACCCGCTTAATTATAAGGCCCCCCTGGTGGCGCAGCAGGTTAAACTGCTGAGCTTCTGAACTTGCTGACTGAAAGGTCGGTGGTTCGGATCTGGGGAGCAGGATGAACTCCTGATGTTAGCCCCAGCTTCTACCAACCTAGCAGTTCAAAAACATGCAAATGTGAGTAGATCGATAGGTACTGCTTTAGCAGGAAGGTAACGGCACTCTATGCAGTTATGAACTTGGAGGAGTCTATGGACAACGGTGCTCTTTGGCTTAGAAATGGAAATGAGCACCACCCCCCAGAGCTGGACACGGTTAGACTTGATGATATGGGAGACCTTTACATTTACCTAACTTAATAATAATAATGTAATAATAATAAGAAATCTTTATTTATATCCCGCTTTTCTCCCTAACGGGACCCAAAGTAGCTCACAATGTAATACAATACAAATCAAAACACATTTAACATAAAATACAAGACCAAAGCCATCTCAGTCCCATAGCCAGGCCCAAAACCAGCCTGAAATGGATCTAGATAATCTGTTTTCTCCAGGAATTCCTGGAGCTGCGACGCCACCACCCATTCCAGAATATTGCCCAGGAAAGGAAGGTTAGAGACTGGACAGTAACTGCCGGTAATGTAAACCTCTATTACTCTCCTCCATTAATATTACATCACATTGGATGCCATATACCTATGTATAATCTTTATAAGTAGCTGGAAGGAATACAGAGTTTGCAGGTTTTAGAAAATAAATATTAATTTATTGGGGGCGGAGTCGGGGAAAGAGGAGGAGGAGAGGAGACCACCACCGAGAACGAGGGAAGCATGCCGCTGCCTCCTTCCTTCTCCGGTGGCTCCTTAGGCTGCTGCTGCTGCTGACGACAACTGAGGGAGGGTTCGGTGCTCTGCAGCGATGAGGCCCTTCCCAGCAGCGGCGCGGTGCCAGTCGGTGAGCGAGGGAGGCCAGGAGGGAAGCAGAGAAGGAGGCGGGCAAGGAGGAGGAGAGGCCCGGATCTGGGGCAAGCGGGACAGAGCTCTGCCCCGGGAAGGGACGACCTTGGCGGAGCTGGAGGTGGAGGGCAGCCGGGCTTTGCTTCTTCACTGGAGGCAGAGGGGACAGGGTCGGGAGGGTGAGGGCCACCTTCGGTAGGGGTAAAGAAGGCCTTGGCCGGATAGGCACCTTTCTCTCTCAGTCATCAGCAGCCAGGCATCCCTATGTCGTGGATTTTCACTTATCGTGGGTGTTCCTGGAATGAAACACCCATGATAAGCGAGGGGACACTGTATTTTTCTCAGAAACAATATGCCAGGGATGCCCAAAAAAGTATACACATTTAAGAGATCGTATATGTGTATTATTTTCCCAAGTTGAACTGAATGTGAATGATGTTCACTCAGAAGACAGCATTAGCCCAATGATTGCTAGTGTCACCATGGGACAGGTAGGATGGTAAAAAACAAAAAAAAGCAGAGCCACGATTGCCATTTGAGAAGTGTAAGACTCTTTTGAAGTGGTATTTGAAATCTGAGGACATTGTGAAAGTATGACAACAATAGAGACCTGAGTGTGCAACAGAACCTCCAACACGCCTAACAACTCCATGCATTTGTGCTGAGTTGGTGACAAGAAACCTGGCTATACTGGTAGTACTCTGACAAGAAACTGAAAGGGCATGCACAGTGATACAAGTGAAGACTTCAGTCCATGTTGCTCCTCTCTCAGGGAGAGAGGGCGGTCTATTAATAAAGTATTTATTATTATTATTATTATTATTATTATTATTATTAGTAGTAGTAGTAGTAGTAGTAGTAGTACTTCGCCATAATTAGAAGTGCCTGAATGCTGATAGTAACTAGTTTGAGCATCTCTTGTAATTGCAGAATGTGACTTATACTCATCTTTTGTTACTCTTAAAATGTGTATACATTTTGGCACACTTTGTATTATTGCAAACTATACCCATTGTGAGTCAGCATATTACAATGGTTTGAGTAAGAGCCTATGGTTCTGGAGACCAGGTTTCAAATCTCTGCTCAGTCATGGAGTCCTCGGAGTGATTATGAGCAAGTCACATTCTCTCAGCCCCAGAGGAAAGCAAAGGGTACACAACAACAACAATCGCTATTGCCATGCAAGGACTGGGTCCTAAATGGTCAGGTAAGACACACTAGCTTCATAAAAGATCATGAGGATATAGCACAGGGTTCCTGATAGGATAAACAAAAGTTTTCTGAATTTGAAACTTTACTTTATGTAATGGCTATGAGGAATTTCATACCAAGTGACTGCACTTGGAATATAATGCTAAACTATTGTGCCTTAGTTTTAGGTGCAATCATTACGGATGGCCACATTTTGAAATGAGCAGAGATTGAGCTTCTGGAAGAGTTATTTCTAAAAAGAGCAAAAGATATGAACACAGTATCTAGCAGACCACATGTATGACAACAGGTTGATACCAGGGCTCCTTCTTGTAAAATTTTGGGATTTGTAGTTTGAAGAATTATTTCAAATTTCCAGGGAGCGCTCTAGTCTATTCCCTGCACTACAGGTCTCTAGCAGAGAACACTAAGCATCTCAATGAACTTCAAATTCTTCGACTCCATGGGTCAGTATCATAACAATTGAGATGTGAGCTCCACTTACCCCCACCACCCAAAAAGATAAAGCAATATTTTATGAGCAAACCAAAGAATTGCTTACGTTTTTCGCCTATGCTGCCAAAAACGGCATCAGCCTTGTCTTCGAACTGCAAAGACAAAAAGAATTGCATCATTAATCTGGATAATTTAAGTTCAAGGGGAACATTCCCCTCTGCCTTTGTTACCTACTTCCCAGGAGAAAACACCTTATTCAACAATGCAGCATGCTATGTATGTGAATGAAGCACAGATACCCCTCACTTAAATTGACTGATTGATATTCAAAGATTTGAACACACTGCAGTTAAGAACAAAATTCAGGTTTATCCCCTTGTTGGGTTAAGTTTTACAAAGGTAAGATAGTGGAAGCTGGAAATCAAATCTTGAAGAGACATGCCTCTAAATCAGTACAGATTCAGATCTATACCTTTATTACATGGGACAGTAATCTTAGGCCTCATCTACACTGTCATATAATCCAATTTCTGAATCCAGATTATCTGGTTTGAATTGGATTGTATGGCTGTGTAGACTCATATAATCCAATTTAAAGCATATAATCTGGATTCAAAAACTGGATTATATGGCAGTGTAGACCCAACTATAGCTCTTGAGACCAAGGTTTAAATAGTGAAAACCCACTTGGTGAATTTGGGGAAGTCACACTCTCTCAGCCTCAGAGGAAGGCAAGGATAATATCAATCAGAATAAATCTTGCCAAGAAATCCCAGTGAAAAGATTGCCATAACTTGGAAACTATATGAATGCACAAAACAGAAGTGAGGGAACATGGAGATGTTGCACAACTTCAACAAACAACAACTCTCGCAAGAACAACCAAGGATCTGAGGCAAACCACTCTATCTCAGGCCACCACTCTATCTCAGGCCACATTCTCTGGTCAGCACGATGGAAATAATAGTATTGGTCAATCTTACAGGGATTATGGTGATACTGCACTAAATGTACAGGGTCAGCACTATGTGGATACTATACATATTTTTACAGGTGTTTAAATTTAACTAATTTAAAATTATATGTATTTTAGATTATTTCCCATATTGGTTTAGGCATACTTAAACTGAACCTCTCAAGAAATAAATGAGTATCCAATGTCTAAACAGAATTGCAACATTCAGATATTATACAGTGAATTCAATTTTCTTGCTCAATGCAGAATGAGCAAACAAATAGCTTGGTGAAACATTTTTAAAGTGATAATCCTCCACAGTAAATTCTCAGAAATTTGAATCATGGATCTGCTTCCTGTCCACTTGACTGCAAGTTTTTCTCTGGAGGGGAAAGGAGGAGGGCTCTTAAAGAAAACTATGCAATTGCAGCTACCCAACAAAAAAATTTTTTTCCCAAATTCTCTTTCCAAAACTTTTCCCAGATCATTACTTTGGATGAAAGTTATGTGGAACAGAAAAGAAACATTTGCATTAGAAATTCCAACTATTCTGAGCTATGGGGGTGTATGCTGAAGATTTCATCCAATTCATTGCCCCTCCCTGATTTGAGGAACCTGCTTTATCTTAAGAGCTGTGGCCACTCCACCTGGGAGCCCTTTCCAAGCAGTGTCTCAGGTTCAGAAAAGAAGGCTATTGCTTTCCTACCTTCAAAGCATCCAGGGAGAAAGGAGTGTAGTGAGTAACAAAGAGCCAGCTTGCTGCATATACCTGCTGCAGGAAAACGAAGCACTTCCAACAGGAAGTGAACCCCGAGAGGTCAGGAGAGCCATAGAGAGGAGGGAAGGAGAGTGCTGCTGGGCTGGAAGCAGGAGAGCCCCCTAGCAGTGTGTCAGCTGTTCTATCTCACATAATGCCTGCCATTCAGGCTGGAAGGGGAGGGATTTCTCTGAATAACATTGGGCAAGTAGACTACATGTTCCCCAGAATTTATTTACTTTTTAATATTAATTTTCATTAAAATAAAATAAAATATATCTATAATAAAATGAACACATTATCAAAATAATAATAGTATTTTTTTTCTTTCTTACCCACCTCTCTTTGGCCTATTGATTTATTTTCTAATACTAATACAGTACAGCAACAAAAACTACTATGAATGACCGTTCAATGAACATATAGACACAGAAAATAAATCAAGCCAATACACAGACACACAAACTAATATCTATAGTACACCAAGACTAACTAGTAAACCTAAAGACTATCCTATTGACTCCTCACTCTCCATCTGATGGTTTTTCATTTCTAACTACACTACTCCCCCCCCCACCCCAAGAAACACTGTAGTTACACTCCTAGATTGAATAACCTACTCCAGGATTTATTTTCAAGAACATTTCCAGCATGTTCAGACAGATGTATGATGAGAAACCTGAGCGGCTCAGAAAACTGTTCAGAATTAGACAAGATATACGAGCCGTTTGGAGGAAGCTACCTTAAATCAAAGAACTAGTTCATAAAGATTATTATTATTATTATTATTATTATTATTATTATTTATTTATTTATTTAGAGAAGAATGGTGCAGCGGTTTCAGTGTTGGACTAAGATTCTGGGAGATAGGGGTTCAAATCTTTGCTCATCCACATAAACCCACTTGTTGGCCTAGAGCAGTGCTTTTCAATCTGTGGGTCCCCAGGTGTTTTGGCCTATAACTTCCAGAAAATCCAGCCAGTTTACCAGCTGTTAGGATTTCTGGGAGTTGAAGGTCAAAATATCTGGGGACCCACAGGTTGTGAACCACTGGCCTAGAGCAAGTCACATTCAGGCTGGATCTACACTGAACTATATCCCAGGATCTGATCCCACATTATTTGCTTTGAACTGGATTATATGTGTCTCCACTGCCATATAATCTGGAATAAGCAGATAATCTGGGATCAGATCCCGAGATATAAGACACTGTAGAAGGGGCCGTAGAATTTGAATAAATCTTGCCTAGAAAATCACATTATAGGGTCACCATGAGTAAGAAGTTACTTGAAGGCATACGACAACAACAAACTTGTTATGGGAGGTTCAGGAAATTGGGGAGATATCGTTCCTGTTTCTGCCTGAAACTGAAACGTCCTGAATGCCAAATATATGACCCTACAAATAATTGTTACAAGGGAATCATTGATGGGATAGTGACTTTCGTTCTAATAGCTTGACCTGAATGCCATTTCATAAATGGCTTTGGAAAGCCCCACATTTTGTCACAAAGCAGGTTTCCAAAGGAGAAATGAGGTTACAAAATCCCCTAGGTTTAAAGAAGCCACTGGTAAAGCTGATTGGATTTTGCCACAGAATTTTAGCATCTTTTCTCATCTATCAATATTCTTCATCTGCTTTTAAGGAACACATTCTAGAAATGCATTTCCAATGGTGGTTGCCTGACAAACAATCACAAGACACATGCAAGAAGTAGAGATGCCATTCAAAAGTTGAGCGGTTCATTGTGAGTATAAGAAAATAAATACACGAAGGAGCTCATAGTACAGGTTGAGAATCCCTTATCCAAAATGCTTAGGACCAGAAGTGTATTTACATGAGATATCTTGGAGATGGGACCCAAGTCTAAACACAAAATTCATTAGTTTCATAAACACCTTATATATATCCTGAAGGTAATGTTGTATGTTGTTGTTCATTCGTTCAGTCGTCTCCGACTCTTCGTGACCTCATGGACCAGCCCACGCCAGAGCTCCCTGTCGGCCGTTACCACCCCCAGCTCCTTCAAGGTCAGTCCAGTCACTTCAAGGATGCCATCCATCCATCTTGCCCTTGGTCGGCCCCTCTTCCTTTTGCCTTCCACTTTCCCCAGCATAATTGTTTTCTCTAGGCTTTCCTGTCTCCTCATGATGTGGCCAAAGTACTTCAACTTTGTCTCTAGTATCTTTCCCTCCAGTGAGCAGTCGGGCTTTATTTCCTGGAGGATGGACTGGTTGGATCTTCTCGCAGTCCAAGGCACTCTCAGAACTTTCCTACAACACCACAGCTCAAAAGCATCGATCTTCCTTCGCTCAGCCTTCCCTAAGGTCCAGCTCTCACATCCGTAGGTTACTACAGGGAATACCATGGCTTTGACTAGGCGGATCTTTGTTGCCAGTCTGATGTCTCTACTCTTTACTATTTTATCGAGATTGGACATTGCTCTCCTCCCAAGAAGTAAGCGTCTTCTGATTTCCTGGCTACAGTCTGGATCTGCAGTAATCTTTGCACCTAGAAATACAAAGTCTGTCACGGCCTCCACGGTTTCTCCCTCTATTTTCCCAGTTGTCAATCATTCTTGTTGCCATAATCTTGGTTTTTTTGACGTTTAGCTGCAACCCGGCTTTTGCGCTTTCTTCTTTCACCTTGATTAGAAGGCTCCTCAGCTCCTCCTCGCTTTCGGCCATCAGAGTGGTGTCATCTGCATATCTGAGGTTGTTAATGTTTCTTCCAGCAATTTTCACCCCAGCTTTGCATTAATCCAGCCCCGCACATCGCATGATGTGTTCTGCATACAAGTTAAAAAGGTTGGGTGAGAGGATGCAGCCTTGCCGTACGCCTTTCCCAATCTTGAACCAGTCTGTTGTTCCATGGTCAGTTCTTACTGTTGCTACTTGGTCCTTGTACAGATTCCTCAGGAGAGAGACAAGGTGGCTTGGGATGCCCATCCCACCAAGAACTTGCCACAATTTATTATGATCCACCCAGTCAAAGGCTTTAGAATAGTCAATGAAGCAGAAGTAGATGTTTTTCTGAAACTCCCTGCCTTTCTCCATTATCCAGCGGATATTGGCAATTTGGTCTCTCGTTCCTCTACCTTTTCTAAACCCAGCTTGAACATCTGGCAACTCTCGCTCCATGTATTGCTGGAGTCTTCCTTGCAGGATCTTGGCATTACCTTACTGGCATGAGAAATAAGGGCCACTGTACGGAAGTTTGAGCGGTCTTTCGCATTTCCCTTTTTTGGTATGGGGATATAAGTTGATTTTTTCCAGTCTGATGGCCATTCTTGTGTTTTCCATATTTGCTGGCAAATGGCATGCATCACCTTGACAGCATCATCTTTTAAGATTTTAAACAGTTCAGCTGGGATCCCGTCATCTCCTGCTGCCTTGTTGTTAGCAATGCTTCTTAAGGCCCATTCAACCTCACTCCTCAGG